TATATATATATATATATATATATATATATATATAGATATATACTTTTTCACCCAAAGTGGGAACCACATGAAAATTAATCATCATAGTACTCAACACACACCAACTCCATGCTTTCTTTCTTTATATATATATATAAAATAATAATTAATAATTAATAATAATGCATGCTCTTGAATTATGTTGAAAAGCTAATATGCTTTTGGTATTTCTACCACCCAATACAATCACTATTTCTTCTTTCCTTAAAATCCCCAAAACCAAGAACACATTTTTTCAGTTTCATCAAATCTTTAATCTCGATACCATCATCATCATCTCAACAAAAAATGGGCGCAAGCTGCTCAAAAGTATCCTTCTGCTGGTGGCATTCTCACCTTAAACCCTCTGTTCTTCAATCATCCGATCTGGGTCAGTTTACTTTTCACCAATTTCACAATCTTGATTTGTTCTTTTCTGTGGGTTTTGCATAAAAATGCAGTCTTTATTTATTTATTTATTTTTTATTTTTGTGGGTTTGTAGAAAATGGGGAGAAGAATTCATTGCCAAGTTTCAGAGAGTTTACCTGGGAGGAGCTGAAATCTGCTACAAGTGGGTTTTCTTCGGAGAACATTGTTTCCGAGCATGGCGAAAAGGCTCCTAATGTTGTGTACAAAGGCTTTCTTGAAAACGAAGGCTATATTGCTGTTAAGCGCTTCAACAAATCTGCTTGGCCTGATTCTCGCCAATTCACTGTCAGCACAATGTTTTACTTTTGATGCCCCTAATTTTTTTATTTTATTTTCACCTGTTTTTGTAATCCAAAGTTTGGCTGTCTGAAATTGTCTTTTGACATGTGATTATTGGTTTAATGAAGGATGAAGCTAAGGCAGTGGGGAATCTCAGAAGTGAAAGACTGGCTAATCTGATTGGCTGTTGCTTTGATGGTGAGGAGAGACTGTTAGTGGCAGAGTTTATGCCTAATGAAACCCTGGCTAAACATTTATTTCATTGTGAGTTTTTTTCTGTATACTATTTGTTTATCTGTGTGTGTGTGTTTTTTTTTTTAATTTAAATCATGATCTTTAGAGGTGGCTGAGGTTGGTTTTATTGTTCCTAAAAGTTCGATGATTTGAAATTTGTTGAAATTGTTTTAAAATGTCATGGATTAGTGTATTGATCGTTGGAAATTGATTTAGGGGAAAATCAACCGATGAAATGGGCAATGAGATTGAGGGTTACTTTGTATTTGGCTCAAGCTCTCGATTACTGCAGTAGCAGAGGTCGAGCATTGTACCACGATCTTAACGCTTACAGAGTCTTGTTCGATCAGGTGAAAATTTGCTCTGCATATATATATATTTTTTTTCGTAATTTCAAATCATATACTATTGTATGTTTTCTCTTATTTAGGATGGCAATCCTAGGTTGTCTTGCTTCGGCCTAATGAAGAATAGTAGAGACGGCAAAAGTTACAGTACAAACCTAGCTTTCACTCCCCCGGAGTATTTGAGAACCGGTATAATCGTATTTCATATTTCATATATCAAGAATTGAGAATTTTCTTGAAATAATAATTACAGTTCTCGTGATTGATTTGTTGCCTCGTTGATTTATACTTTTAGTGATAATATTTATGCAGGAAGAGTAACTCCAGAAAGTGTAGTTTACAGCTTCGGTACAATGCTGCTAGATCTTCTAAGTGGCAAGCATATACCTCCAAGCCATGTACGGAAAACTAATTAAATAAATGTTTAATTAGAGTAATTCAATTAGTTATTAAACATTTATTTTTTTCCGATTGTCTTTTTTCTAGGCACTTGATCTGATCCGTGGCAAAAATTATTTGATGCTAATGGATTCTTGTTTAGAGGGTCATTTTTCGAACGATGATGGAACTGAGTTGGTTCGTATAGCCACACGTTGTTTGCAATACGAAGCTCGAGAAAGGCCAAACACTAAGTCTCTAGTCACTTTTCTCATGTCCCTTCAGAAAGAAACCGAGGTATTTATATATATGTATATGATGAAATATAATTCAAAAATTATTCTTTGTTTTCTTGATTTTCAGACGAATAATTTTTCGTGTTAAATTGATATGCATGAATTAGGTTCCTTCTCATGTTTTATTGGGAATCCCACAAGGAAACGCAAACTGTACGCAGCAGCAGCCATTGTCGTTGACTCCCATGGGTGAAGCATGCTTGAGAATGGATCTAACTGCCATACACGAAATATTGGATAAGGCTGGGTACAAAGACGATGAAGGAATTGCTAACGAGGTTTTCTAAATAATAATTAAAAAAAAATTATGAGATCGTTATTTTTTTACGAGTTAAATTAATTAATTTCTTTTTTTTGGATATATGCAGCTATCGTTTCAAATGTGGACGAATCAAATGCAAGAGACATTGAATTCGAAGAAGCAAGGGGATGCTGCTTTTCGAGCCAAGGATTTCACAACAGCCATCGACTGCTACTCACAGGTAATACAGTTATTATGGATAATGTAATGTAATAATAATTGTGATTAATGAAGTAATAAATAATACGAGTTTGTTTATGATGACGAACAGTTTATCGAAGGCGGGACCATGGTGTCGCCAACTGTGTATGCTCGGAGATGCTTGTCTTATTTGATGAGTGAAATGCCAAATCAAGCTTTGGGAGATGCTATGCAAGCACTTGCTATTTCACCAGATTGGTCAACTGCTTTTCATCTTCAAGCAGCTTGTCTTTTTACACTTGGAATGGAAAATGATGCACACGAATCACTCAAAGAAGCTACAAACTTGGAAGCCAAACGAAGCCGAAACTAAATTAAAAAAAAAAATCAAAAAATAGAAAGAAGTGTATAGATTTCTCCTTTTCTTGATTCGATTATCGTGTATTTAGCCTTTTTACCCATTCCGTTTCGTGAAAAAAAAAAAAAAAAAAAAGACGAACACAGAAGTACTTCGAATTGGTTTGGTAGGTTTCGTATTTCCAGAAGTTGTGAACTACAGCTCGATTTTCTTGAGCTTTTTGTGAGTTGTGGAATGAAAATTCATTTGATTTCTTGATATATATTTTCTTTTTTCTAGATTTTTCCATCTGTTCCACATTATACCAAAACATATTCTTCAACACTGTAGTGAGTACAACAAATTCAACAAATATAAGAAAAAGCTCTTTAAATACTCTCGAAAATAGTCGATAAGATAATAAATAGTACTACATTGAAAAAGATATTCCTATGCGACTTACAAGTATGCAAATAATACCCGTCGAGCTTCAATTTTTTATTTGCTAAAAAAATGAGCTTGTTAAGCCCAATACAACATAATCCATGTATACTCATTTCAAAGTCAATATAGCAAAAGTTACATCGGAGGTCGGTTGTTTCCCAGAAGTTGGCCGACTAAGTTAGTCACCTGCATTAAATATATGAAAACCGTCAAAAGGGCATGCAGGAAAAATTACCAAAAGACTTGTAGAAATCAATGAAATAAATATTTCTATGCTCTAGAAACGTTCGTAAAAGGGTATGGTCCACGCAATTTCTATTGGGAAGAAAATGATGTAATAGAAGTTGGATAACAAATAAGCTTCTTTATTACAAACCTGTAACTTTATTTCAGCTACATTTTATTCTTAAAACAAACATCATAGATAAATGAAACGAAACTTATAACGACGACAGGTGTTACTGCAACCACAGTACTTCTTTCTTCAAGAAGTTACCATCTTTAACTTCCACTACTGAATTCCACATTCACTAAATTAGTAACAGAGCCATGGAAATTAACACACGGTTAAATTTCAAAACTGCTTATAATGTTTGACTTCGAATGAATATAATTCTCCATGAAATTGTTGCACGTTTAATAAGTGGCAGCTACTTTCTAGTTCTATAACGACTACATCTTTGATTTTGAAATTGATGCGTTGAATAAGTAATTAAGAATTCACAAGGTTCGGTTCATTTCCTATATAAGACTTATGTTTTAAGCTCCTAAGAGAGAAAACTAACACTATACAAAACTAAAGGGCATATACGCGTGTAGAATACACTAATAGGTAATAAACGAACACCTGGATCGAAAGCCTATGACAATAGATATCAATAAGCTTATGAATACAAAGTGAATCGTAAAAGAACAAATACTCACCTGCCAATACTTTGAAACACAACGGTCAATGCAACTGTTTTCACCCATGTTCAACTCAGATTCCTTGTACCTGAAAGCATGACAATCTCACTTCCGTAAACGACTCACATAGATGACTCTAATTAATAGTCACACACACAAAAAAAAAACCATTTGTTATATGATACAAAGTAATATTTCTACAACTTAATAATCCAATTCAAGCTTCAACGAGAAACATAGGATCTGCAATTCTTACTTGTGCTCGACGCATTTGCTGAAACACGTGTGGGTAAGCCTGAATCAAATGAAGGAATCATCAGATAATTACACCAGGAAGAGCGGTGGAAAAAAAACTACTTCCGCAAATCGTAATTATTAAACAATTAGGAACTCCCAATTCAGGAAAAAAAAATAATTATATTTCCTAGTGAACAACAATCATAATTACAATCCAGCATTGAGCAAATACACTAACTAAACAGTATTAGACTAAAGCAAGAAAAAGTGAACAAAACAGCACATATGGAGCAATTAATTAAAAATAAATAAAAATCTGAAAACCTACTTGTTAAACATATCCACCCTATATTCCATCTCCTTCTCCATCATCCCAATAATCTGTGCACACACGAACAAAATAAATCAAAATTAAAATAAATATGAATCAAAAGCCCTAATTTCCGAAATCTCATTACACAGAATCCGCCCAATCTTTGTACTGTGAGAGATCATAGAAGAAAGTACCTGCTCTCGCTCAAAAGCGGATGGAACGGCGTTGTTTGCAGCCATTGGATGGATCTCGAAATGGAGAAACAGAGAAATTTAACAAATTAAAATTCAATTATTTTGAAGCCTAATAAATAAATGAGAATGAAAATCTGGATTGGCTTGAACAGTAGAAAAAGGTTTACTTAAACCCTAAATTGAGGCAGACGAAACCAAAGACGTCTACAAGCATAGATTTATGGTGTGGAAGGTCATAGCGTATTAGCGTGCGCCTTACTAGATCTACACCGTTCATTAGCGGTCCTACGTGGAAGGGAACTTCATCTACCTTTAAATGATGAATATGGGCTATATAATATTTGATAAGGGATTTTATTAAGACTCAAAATTGGGCTTTCATAAGAAATTAATTGGGCCTTATGCGCCTAAGTCCATCAAATTTCAATTTCGCACGCTTTCAATCATTGTATAAATTATGAAAATCAATTTCGCATGCTTTCAAATCATTGTATAATTAAAAGGTAAATTATGAAAACCTCCTTGGACTTGGGATAAATTACGAAAAATACCCCACCATCTATCCGTAATTACCAAAATTCCTCCGATGTTTGTTTTTATCTTACACCGACCCCCTTATGGTGTAAATTTTCACAGCATCTTTTTTATTCCAATTAATATTTCCCGATAAATGTCAATTCTACCTCTGCAAACCGAGCATTTCTTTATGCTATTTTTAAAAAGACAAAAATTCCCCTCAAATGGGTAATGGCATACTAAAAGGTGTGAAGTTGTTTATTTAAGAACAAGTAAAGATTTTGTGTCATAGCTCCATAACATAAAGAAATGTCAAGTCTGTAGAAGATTTCAAGAAAATCACACAAAAAGGGGGTCAATGTAAAATGAAAACAAACGTCGGGAAAATTTTGGTAATTGCGGATAAGTGTGGGTGTTTTCGTAATTTAACCTAAGTTCAGGGGTTTTAGTAATTTACCACAAATACACAGCTTATTTTGGAGTGGTTTCAGAGCCACTTAAAAGCGCCAAATCAGAAACGCTTATAGCTGCAGTATATAGAAACATTAATCTAACTTGTAATAATCAAATGGAGAAACATAGGATGCAAGCCTACGAATACTTATACAAGTACTTATCGAATTATATTTGCAATGCAATGCAAATCCGGCATCAATTTTTTTTTTTACAATTTTTTCCATCATCTTCTTTCTACGAGGAATGAATCGTACGAGAGAAATGCTTATGATGGGATATTGAAGTGGAAAAGCCAAGATATGACAAACGCAAAAACCATACAAGCCAGAAGAAAATTTAAAAACCGATGACCGTTTAAGCACGTCCGAGTTTCTGTGGCCGAGGGTGCAGGAGCTGAGGGTGTGCCTGCCCCCACAGTAGCACTACCACTCTCACCCCCTTGCTGTACAGCCTCGATATCATTGGGCCCCACAACATTACGCGCAACCGAGTTGCAAATTTCGCAAGTCCTGAAAACAAATTATTTCAATTACCTTGTAATATACATGAACTAGATAGCTTAGGCAAATTAATCGGGAAAAAAGACATCAAATGAAAGCAAAGAATCTACAGACAAGAAGTATTACTACATATGCTAAAGAAATGGATTTATTGCATATTGTGACATTAGACTTTGTCAATATCTGTTTCTCTTAACGGCTATCGACTTCATATTATCGACGTTTTTATCTTTTGCATACGAAAAAGCATAGTGATAAGAATAAAGGGCGATTTTTGCCGTATATAAGTCGGAGAAATACTATAAAACTTAGCATCAGAATATAGCTGTGATACCGACACTTAACCGAATTCCTTGAATTCAACATACAATAAAGTGATGATGATAACTTTGGAATCGAGGACCGGCAAACCATTAATCGGGGGAAATAGGATGTACCAAGTGGGGGGGGTCGAGTTTCCACTTTGATAAAGAAAGAGAATCTCAAGAATGCTAACAATTATTTCATTAGAAAGGAATAATCGGGTGTGCTTAAATCGAAATTAACGCAATTGCTCCACTGCTTTATTCTTCTGCTTTACTTTTTCACACTAATTATCTTCCATAATCACATTTCTTAATCTACATTCTCTTATCAGATAATCAACCAACTCACATATGTACTTTGACAAACCAAATGAATCAGCATTAACACTAGCATTTAAATGACGCAAAATCGACGAAAAACGGTAACTAAAAAACATTAAAAAAAAATCGCGAAAACATAAATAAAACTCACTTGTTTCCTTTGATTTTGAACCAAGTTTCGGCACAATGTTTGTGAGCAGCAGCTAAGTCATCTTTACAAGAACAACCCAATTCGATGGCGATACCGGAACCCGGGCTACTACTAACCAAACTCAAATGACAAATTCTACAATCTCTGTCAAAATTAGCCAAGCAGGCCTTAGTATTATTATTAGCATCACCATTTTCTAAATCAAGCACATAGTCAGAAGGATCAGCTGCAGAAGATGCTCTCCTAGATTCCTCCAGAATCTCGGAGCCGCCGCAGGCGAAGCCGTAGTCGTCGTAAGATCCGTCGCCGTCGACGGTGGAATAGAACTGGGAATTGCAGGACCCGTCATCAGCGTCGGAGAAGCAAACACTCTCCTCCTCCTCCTCCTCTTCGGCCGTGGAGCTGCCGCCGCCCATAGAACTCCGGCAGCCGCATTCCAAATCTATGTGGGACATTTCTAAAGCTGCCATTTTTTGGAAGAACCCCACCAGAAACAGATGCAAATTGTGAAAAAAAAAAAAAGCGTTCAAGACTGAAGATTTAAAGAACCCATTTTGTTTGTTGATTCAAAAAAAAAAAAAAAGAGAGAATCTTGGAAGAGCCCATGTGGTGAAATTAAAGAAATTGAATTATAATGTGGTTAGTTTGAAGACACCATGGTTGTTCTGCAAGTGAAAGTGACGCTTGGTGGGTTATATTCCAACAAGGAAAATACGGACACAGAGAAGAAAGTGTGTCCTCTAGTGTTTCGGTTGTGTGTGTGTGTGTGTGTGTGGAAATGGTGAGAGAAAAATGAAGTTGTGAGTTTAAGAAGGAAACAAACAAGAATTCTACAGCGAAAAAAAAAAACAGTAGTTAGTGGTGGATTTGTTTTGGGAACTCGAAGTGTGGTTCACCTAATCTTGACTTCGTTTTGTTTATAAAAAGATAAAATTTGAGACCTAGTTGTTATAGTAAAGATAATGCAATGTTTAACACGATTATTTAGTTAATTTTCTGCAAATGGTAAATTATGGCCACCGATTGAGGTAAACTGAAATTACGAAAAAAAGTGTTTCATATTTGGGTAGCTACAACTAAAACTTCAACTATGATTTATTTATTTGGTATTTCATATTTGGGTAACTACAACTAAAACTTCAACTATGATTTTTTCATCCGCAAACCATTGCGATATCAAATCTAGTGATATCTTCTAGATTATGTTGAATATTTTGCAGTATCAAATCTAATAAAATCTTCTAGATTATGTTAAATATTCTGCAGTTTGTACCAGTTTTACCCCATTTGAGCTCCACATTTTGAAATAAGATGATCATAAGATGTGTCTCTTGGATTATAAATTTATAATTCATCAGAAACTCCATTTTTTGACAAAACGAGTACAAACTATAGAACATTTCACGAAACCTAGAAAATTTTATTGAATTTGACATAACAAGGGTGGACGTATAAGATGATCCATGGTTGATGAGTGATTGTAATTACTCAAACAAGAGAGTTTTTTTTCGTAATTTGACCTTAACTCGGGGATCATGACTGTAATTTATCGTTTAAAAAAACAATTATGACTAATTATTCGTCATTTAACACCTTCAGTTTTTATTCCACGACACTTTGGTCTTTGCCACCTTTGCCACTTCACCAAGCTTATACGTCAAGTTCTAAGTGAAAAAAAAAAAAAAACAATTAGATTTATTTTGTTTCACACAATGAATTAGATAATGAAAATAATATAAATCAACGTCGTCAAGTTTTAATGAAATAATTCTGTAAACATGTCGTAAAATATCAAACAGAGTTGTATCCTTATTTTATCCAAAAGAAAAACCTCTGAGTTATTTAATGATAGACCTAATAATTTAGTATTGTGTATATATCCAATATGTAATTATTGAGTTCGAGAGATACATGTGATACTGAATCATGGTCCACCACAGAGACATGGGTAAATATAACATTTTTTTAGTAGCTCGTGAGAATTTACATTTTCTTTTACCCTTTTTAAAGAATATATATAAAAGGAAATATTGAATTTTATATAAAAATAAAATATTATTATTATTGTTATGAAAAAAAAAAAAAATAATAATCAAAATGACAGTCATTTTGTGTTGCACACGCAAAGGGAGGAGGAGGAAGACACGAGAGGTGGTCCATCTCTGGTCAATGGTGTGTCCACTGCTTTCACGCCGATATTTACTATTTCCAGATTCTCAGTGGTCCCACCCTCCCATTTTATACCCTTCATTTCTTCACCCAAAAAAAATAAAAAATAAAAGACTATTTGTAAGTTTGTAATTAAAATTTAAAGGAAATAATTATTTATTATGGTGAATTAATTAAGTAAGTGGGTCCTGGGGGTCAAAACGATCTGTATTTCTTATTTTCTTTCCTAGATTCCCCAACACCAGAAAAAGTGAATTGTTTTAACTTTAATGGTTCTCTTCTCCCTTACCACCAAAATAATAAATAAATAATTAGCAAAATTAAAATATTCTGCACTTTCCACCGTGTAAAATGATAATAATAATAATAATAATACATGAACAATTCAAGTTCACTCCAACATCGTACGTACCACACATTGTTTTTGTTGCTGAATGTAAGAAAAAGAACACCCCCCAAAACATGGTATTTGGAACAAACACTTGCTAATTTACACCTCAAAAGCCCCAAAACAAAAGCCACCTAAAGATTGTGTTGCATGTTATTCGAATTCTTTAATTACTTCTATTTTCTAATCACCAAAATAAAGATGCAATTTTCTTTAAGTATTCAAGAGACCCTTTACCACTATGTTTATGCTCTAATTTTTTTTTAATGTTTGTAAACTTGACAAAGTAGTAGTAATTAGCAACTTTGTCTGCACATGAGGTGTCAGTTAGGAAAGGGGCAACCAGAAAACATACACAAAGTAGGGCCATGAGTAAAGCAGTAGAACATGCATCTTGTGTGTATGAATGAATAGAGTGGGGTTTATCCCATTTTCAACATTTCAAAAGGGGGAGCCAAACAGAGCCCAGAGATGTGACTCTTCATTCAAATTATTACTACCATCACTGCTTATCTTTTTGTCCTAACTATTTCCCTCTTCTTTTTCTCTCTGGAGTAATAATCATTTCTGTTTTTTCCAATAAGAACTCATCATACACAATACAGCACGCTTCATTCATCATACTTTTTAACCACCCAAAGATTACTGCTCTAATTCTCCATGATTAAACATCGAGTGGTCAACTATAAAGCAGATACACATAAACATAGGTGCAAGACAATCTTAATCCAATCAAATATAAGCTTAACCTCAGTTAATTTCAAACACATTGCAATAAACATGGATCACAAAACCTACTAATCTACGATCCTTAAATACTACGACTTTCCTATCCCAATTCAGACTCAAACGGGCATTTAATAACACATTGACTAGTTAGAAGAATGTAATCAAAGAAAAAAATGAAACTTACATCAGACGAGAACGAACCTGGAGAAAATTGAAATGATCGTCAGAAGAAATTGATATATAAATAAATCTCGAACTTCGTAACACGCTGCTGGCAGTAGCACAAACAACCATCGCCCGATTTCTGGTCCAGACCGTTGAAAGTGCCGCAAATTCAGCTATCTTTTATCATCACAAATTAGTCGCTTCAGTCAATAATTAGCAACATAGATATCTAATCACCGCAAGATTCAAATCCACAAGTAAATAAAGATTTCAGGAGCAGAATCATCTCAATTTCTTTCGATTCGTAAACAGCTGCTCACATCTTACTCAATCGCTCCCAACTTCATTATGTGCTAGTAATACAGGTTGCCTAATCATTGGGGTTGATATCAACTCGTTCTTTCCCATATCGGAGCTCGAATTCTCGTTCTCTCCACTGTCTTCAAAATGCCCCGTTTGTTGACTGCTACACGATAACCCACTAGCCATATTCTCCATTGCTTTAATGGTGCTGCTTTCAAGCCCACTCTTAGACCAAGCAACGTTGCTTATATCCGCTGCTAATGCAGCCAAATCATGGCTTGTGAAGGATGGAGGTGTCGTATAGTCGATAAATTCAGGGCCCAACAATGAGGTCACCCCACCGGGATTCTCACAGCAACCATGGCCACATCTGTGAGGGACCAATATATCACCGACTAATCGTTCTAGCGATTTAGATTTGCAAGTTCCCACTTCGGAATTCGAGGTTTGGAGAAAGGGCAACCTAGGAGATGGAGACACGTTTTCTGCTCCATCCACGGAATTGTTATAAACGTTAAACGCACTAATACGAGCAACAGGACGAAACAGAGGAGGAGGGGGTATCGATTTATCGTTGAGTTGAACTTGTGATTGAGCTTTTTCTTCATTGTCTTCTATTAGTTCAAAAGAGCTGGTGGCATCTTTTCCTTCATCTTTTCCTTCATAGGACCTGACAGAATTTGCATCTCCACACGATGGTGTTTCTTCGGAATCCGCCTTTGATTTTTCGAAACTTGTATCTTCGACCATATTGGTGGATTCCAACATAGGTATAGGTTTACCAATCCCCATGCACCGACGCCTCAATGTGGAATTCCAGTGGTTCTTGATTGCATTGTCTGTTCTACCGGGCATTAGCCTTGCTATTGATGCCCATCTGTTTCCATGGATAGCGTGAGCTTGAAGTATCATACGATCTTCTTCATCTGCAACAATTCGAGTTTCAATTAGCCATGAGAAAATAGATAAAAAAAAAAAAAATTGAAGTACTTTTCCTCTATCAGAACCCTAGAACTGAAAAGGAAACTCGTGCGTATCGAGCATGTTATAACGGTCGGAGATGGTTGTGCAGCAGACAATCGACTGTGCATACTTGAAGCAATACAAGTCAAGTATACAATTGGGCTAGTGGAATTTGAATTGAAATATATTTTTTAAAACGAATAGAAAATACTATACTTCTCATTCTTAGTCTTCAATTCAATGGTAGGTCAACATGTTCCATTGTCAAGTTAACCTAAAGAGAAAGGGGGCGCAATTGCCGCGCTAAATTTTCACCCAAAGGAAAATAATAGACTCCTAAACGACTAGAAAATTGACAATAATAGCAAAACAGGAATCCATATAGCGAATTAGACAAATTTAATTCAGAATTTAACGCGTCGGAGGATGTAAAAATTACCGGTGAAGGGTTTGCGTTTAACGGCGGGATCGAGCTGATTACACCAGCGGAGGCGGCACGATTTTCCCGATCGGCCAGGAATTCCTCGTGCTATGAGACTCCAATTCCTAGCCCCGAAGTTACTCACGAGTTGACTCAGCATCGCGTCCTCATCCGGCGACCACGGTCCTTTAACCCGGTCGAGTGATCTCTTGCTCGCCCGACCGCCGCCGCCACCGAGCACCACCAAGGCGTCTTCTTCTCCGCCGCCGCCGGCGTGGGCGTGCATTTCTACCGGTGCCTGAGTGTCAATTTCCATAAATTAAAATAATTTACCGCCTCTTCTGAATTGGAATTCCTGAGAGGTTTTTTCGTTACTGTTTTGACTGAAACTGCTGACGTGAACACAGACTCGTACATAGGGCATATATACTTCCGGGGAGTGAATGAATTGATTTTTACTCCATTATTTATTTACCTACGGTAAGTTTTCTGCTCTCTGCTATTAGAAACGGCTTATTGGAAACGCGACTCTACCCTAATCAATAGAATCGTACAAGTGATCGGGCCTATAATGATTGGGCCCGAATGAAACATTTATATGGGCTGCACTATTAATTGTTCATCCGATTTCTCGTTGGCCGGCCCGCTAAATGTATTGTCAACTCTTGGCCCAAATCTGTTATTGGCTGATCATAATAATTATCTTTTCTTTTTTATTATTATTATTTCAGAATTATATAACCGCTGTATTAATAATTAGGGCTCGTTTGGTTACCGCTATAAGGTGCTACTGATTAAATAGTAGAGGCTAATAATATGTCCGGTTGGTAAGATTCACACTTTTTCAAACCTGCTACTAAAATCAAAGTTGATGCATTGTCATTTGGACGTGCACTTGCCTTGGGGTTTGGCTACGGCTTTTGTTGTCGAAAATGGGCCGCCGTCGACTACGCTGCCTCCGCCGCCTCCGGATTTTCCTAAATGTTAATATTAACTACTGGAAAATTAATTAATATATAGTCTTTTTGGGGAATTGTGATTTTATTTTGTATGTTCCAATTTTTTCGTATATATAGCTTGATTTACCTGTTCTTTGGACTTGTTTTTAGCAGTCATGTACCATAATAGTTCTCAGTCAAAACTGTTATATTTCTCACAATTTAAGCAATAAAATAAATGTGTGTTTTTAATTATTTTTCTTGTGAATAATTAAACGCCGTACATATTTTTTTAATTGTTTTTTATTTACATTTAACTATTAACACGTGAAAATTAGAGAGAAGTGTGATAAGTTTGTTAGAATATTATTTTTTTTAATTAATTGGTTGTCCAAATAAATATGGGTCTTTCTAGGGTGAGATCCCATGTTCTAAACTTTTATGAGATACCCCTTTATATTGCGCCACGTGTCCCAGCAAAAAAAACCTATTTTTTCTCCATTTATATATTGTCGCAAATACCCTTTTTACAATTATTATTTAAAAAAATCAGCAATTATAAATTATTAATGAAATGTCAATTTTACCCTCTCTATTTTAATGCAATTTTAAATACATATTTATTGCTGAATTAAAATTTATAACGTCAATTATATCATTATTCGTAAAAATCATTAAACCACCCATCCAAAATTGCATCAACCTAAATTCGAACCTGTGACCATCTGAAAACATACAAGAATACTTACCATTAAAACACAACACATAATTGACAATAAACTAACAATACGGATATATATCACAGAGCTACAATTTATAATGGTTATAAAACTTATATAAATAATGTTAAATAAATTATTAATTCTCATATAATTATTATTATTATATATTAAAAATATCTCATACTAACAAATATTTATATAATATAATTTAAAAATCTAAGGAAATGTTGTTCAACTCGTGTAAGTTAAAAATTAATTTCGAAAGCATTTGAAGTTTGAATTGAATCGTAAATTGTAAGATTTAATTAAATCGTAATATTTGAATCAATTAAACTCATGTGTTTTCAATTCAAAAACAATATTCAAAGATTTGATCGATTAAGCTCAACTCATTTCAATTCGTAGACAATATTCAAATATTTGAATCGGTTAAACTCAATAATTTATAATAGCATATTAATCAATCTGTGTATAGTTAAAGTTTAGTAACCTTTTTTTATTGAATTTTATTATAAAAAATAATAAAATTTAATTGGTAAAAATCGTAAGATTTAATCGGTTCATGGTTAGATTAAATCTTACGATTTACGATCTGATTCTTACGATTTTACGAATTAAATTATTATTTTGTTGTTAAAATTGAATTAAAAGGATAGTAGACTTTAATTATAAATAGTTAACTCGATTAATACGTTCTTGTCAGTGGTTGAACTTAATCGATTCAAATTTTTGAATAATATTTACAAATTAAAAGGATTTGCGCTTAATTTATTCAAATCATACGCTTTAATTAATCTTATAATTTGATTCTTGCGTAATTTAGGAATTATTTTTTTATGATAAGATTGAATTAAAAATGTATTACACTTTAATTAATAATAGTTAATTTGATTAAGACGTTCTTGTCAATAGTTGAGCGCGCTAATGAATCGATTCAAATATTTGAATAATGTTTACGAATTGAAAGGACTTGAGCTTAATTGGTTCAAATATTACGCTTTGATAAAATATTTTGATTTACGATTAGGTTCTTACATGTGTTAGGAATTAAATATATTATTTTTATGACAAAATTGAATTAAAAAGATATTACACATTACTTATAAATAGTTAAATCAATTTTGTAACATGTTATGTCAATAGTTAAGCAACTGATTCAAATATTTGAATAATGTTTACTAATTGCAAGGGTTTGTACTTCATCGATTCAAATCTTACTAGTTAATTAAATTCAATATTAAAAGAAAATTCACAATATAGTATTTGTAGTATATAATTTTATTTTAAAGTAAGTAAACTACTAATTGGAATGAGTTATAATTTTTTCTTCTTCTAAATAAACATATTATTTTATTTTTTATTTGGATTTGCCACACTATCGATTAAATAACATAAGTGAGTTTGAATTAAGTTATGCATTTTTTTTTATTTAATTGAGCATTCTTTACATTTTTAAATTGAGGATTTTATTAATACTTCTAATATTTAATGATAGATGTTTGGCGTATTGAACTGCAATTCTTTATATTTTTCAAACTTTATTTTATTAAATTTGTTAATAATTTATTTAATTCGGGTTTTCGGGTTTCGGGTTTTCGAGTTTCGGGTTTCGGGTTTTACCATTTAATAATAATGAATGTTGCAATTAATATTTGCATTAACAGTATTTATACAATTATGGTTAAATATTTTATAATAAGTTAATGTGCTTGGATGGTTAGGAGTGATAAATGTATTAAAAGGTCATAAGTTCGATTTCTAATGAATACATTTTTTTCGATTATTTATCAAATAAAACTCAGTCACAATGAATTTAAATTAATTATTTAATTAAAATATAGTAGGGTGTAAATTAGACAATTCCATGTTAATCAATTTTATATTAATTTAATAAAAAAATAATAGAAGGATAATTTGGTAAAGTACTTCATTTTTTAGAACATAAGCCATGTTATTTTCCTAGGGTCCAGATTTAATCTTAGAAAATTAATGGTGATTAATGCATATCTCAAAAAAGTTTAGAACATTGGGTATCTCACCCTAGACAAACCCAATAAATATTACTAATATACAATTCATTATTTGTGACGTTAGAAAATCTTAACAAACTAATACAATACATTACAAAGTCCACACGCCTTAAATTTGGAATTCATCAACGAGTCACGCATTGTGTTATTTACTTGTAATAAAAATAGATATATAAAAATAGATTATCGACTGATTTACGATGATAGTTAGATCGACAATTCAATAAGCATAGATCGAAAATCGTAGGGAGTAATGTTTATTGTAAGAAAAAAATATATGGATTGAATGTCACACATACACAACTCTCGAATCGAGAGCCGAAAACCCGAATCAAAACCCGGTCTAAAACAAACTACGTACCACAAATGATTCCCTTTTGAACGATCATATGAAAATCTCAATAGTAGTACAATGAATTACGAGTTTAAAATTGCATTTTTTATAATAATAATAATATAATAAAAAATTTAGAGAGATGCAGGGGCGTAAGCCGGAGCGTGAACAAGGTCATCAGCAGCCACCGGACCAGGGGCGGCGCCGCCACCGCTGCTCAGAAGCTCCAGCATGGCGCGGTGTGGGTTCGACTTCTGCTTCTGACAGAGAGCTGGCAAATACACTCCTATAATAATAAAATACACAAATTGTTAAAAACCCTAATTCCCAAAATTAAGCATTTAATTTAATTTAATTAGCCATGCAGTAATAGGATTAATTAATAATTAAAAAACTGACCTTCACCAGCGGCGAGGTTGAAATAAAGGTCGACGATGTTAGGGCAGTTCTGGTAGCATGCGGGGGAGCAGAGACGGGGGGTGAAATCCGCCGTGAGGAAGGCGTCGGAGGATATTCCGACGAATCCGCGGTCAACGCCGCAGGCGTTGACGCACTCGTCGGTCTCGATGTAGCCCGACAATCTCTCCACAACAACCTCGGATGTCTTACACGTGTAATCTAGGGTCCCACGCTCGTCGGAAAAGTTCTCCAACACGCACCTTTTCCCCGACGAAGCAATCGCAAACGAACACCTGTTCGCCGGCAAATCCTCGCAGATCAACTCCGCTGTATATCCACAATTAATTAATTAAAATATTCAAATCTTGCATGCAGACCAGAATAATAATAATAATTAATTAATTAAGAAAAAAAAAAAGTACGTACCGAGAATTCCTTGAACAAAGAGAGAGGAAGCGAAGAATAGAATCAATGATGATTTCATTGAAGAAGCCATAAAAATATATTCTTTACTCTCGATGTTTGTTTTTGCAGCCCCTTTTTTTGTTGTGAATTAAAACTTTTTTTTTTTGTTTTGATGATATGAAAAACGAAATTGATAATTCAGCTAAATGGGGTTTGATGAGAAAATGGTGAATGGGGATCTTCTTTATATAAGGTGATCAAATCTAGAGAGAGAGAGAGAGAGAAGAGAGAGAGTCAAAGTGAGATTAAATTTATGATTAAATAAAAATAAAAAATAAAGGAATTGACAAATTCTCTGAAATTAATTGGGAAGCACCTAGATCGGTGGTTGCTCGAGGGTTAGTAATGGAATTTGGTGGAGCCCACGCGTAATATTTTTACTATTTTTTTAATTTATATTTTTGTGTGTGGAAAAAAAGGCTGAGTTGATTATTATTATTATAATTAGGAAAATGGCGTTTGGTTTGGGGTTTGGAGAATAACAAATTGCAAAGACGTGTTAGGGCGTCTATACGCATGAAGTTTCTGATGATTGGAAGCTTCGAATTTTGAACTAGTCCAAATTAAAGACTTGTTTTTTTTTTTTTTCTTTTCGTGAGAAAATAGCTAACTGAAAAGTACTCCTAATTTATTTTTACTTTTTAATATTTATGTAATACAAAAATTACTTTGATTTTAGATTGTAATAATAAAATAAAAAAGGGAAATACAGTGAAGATTAGTGCATTCTCCACTTTAAATGATATATTTCTTATTTATAATTATAATCATGATTGTTGTTCAATATTTTATTAGAAATTAAGTATTTTATAAATTATAAAACTTATTTAATTGGAATATTTTAATTTTTTTAAAATGAAAGATTGGAAAAAAACGCGTTCTTGATTTATCAAGCGACAATCGTGGAGCATAGTTGATGTATGTATATTTTTCAATGAAGAGGACACTAATGATTTGATAATAATTAATTACTCAACATTGATTTATGTATTTTTTTTTTAATGTGTGTAATGTGGAATAAATATGGAACTATAGTGTTAATTAAACGAGATTTACGTAATCACAATAACTTGAAATTGGAATTATTAGTGGATGTGCCTAACTAATTTTATTATGTTGACAAATGGCGCAAGTGAACCTTTAATTGAGACAGGGCGGCCATTACCACTCGTATACACACGTCTACATTGGTGTGTAGATCAATGGTAAGAAATTACCTGATGTTTCACCGGATGTAACACGAAATAACCTAAAAAAATATGGATGTCGCATTTACCAGTTCAATTTTTGTATTGCCGGAACAAATTTTTCATTAGTTATCTAAAGGACAAATTCTACTTTCCCCATTATACTTTGGGTAGGTATCACTTTACCATCTTTTACTCTCGATTGCATTGATTTGCCCCCGTGCACTTGAAAAATTGTCTCAATAACATCGTTTGATCTAAAATCTGAAATTACAAAAACGTCACCCTTCCCAATTTAAATAATTATTAAAAAAAATCAAGACAACGAGAAAGCATAGTCCACGACGGCAACCACAATTTATTTTTATTTTTTATTTTTATTTATAATTATTTAAACTGGGAGGAGTGGTTTTTTTGTAATTTTCAGACCTTAAACCAAACGGTATCAAAAGTCAAAGGTCTGGAAACTAAGGTCGAGGGCTACATTGAGAAAAAAATTCAAGTGCACGGGGACAAATTAATACAAGTAGAAGGGGGTAAAATGATATCGAACCAAAGTAAAGGGGGAAAAGTTGAATTTACCATTATCTAAATTAATTCGGAATTAAGTCGGTTTACTTTAACGAGCCCAAATTCAGTCAAGTCCAGAAAATTAAAGCCCAAATGTTAGTAATAATATGTAATTGGGCCCGAAATTACGGCCCGTAAAATCTATCCTGTTTGAGAAATGTGTAGACGAGGATAAGCGGGACCCACATCAAGAAATTGAATCCTTACCAGCCTTTCAATTCCTCCAATTACAATCTAAAAAAAAAAACAAATTCAAACAAATAAATAAAAAATAATAATATCAAGCATGGCCAGTCAGAAATCGGCAAATTATCAAGAACCCAAAAAAAGCTAAAAAAAAAAAAAAGCTAAAAGAGAAGTAGCGATGGTAGCTGCTTCAGCCACAACGCCGGCGTCTCATCTTCTCTTCTCCAGCTCCCAAGCCATCTCCCGTTTCACCCCTTTCCACACGCTATCCTCCTCATGCCCCACCGCCGCCGCAATCAGCGGCGCCGCCGCCAGGCGGAGGAACTCGGCCGCCGGAGGCGGAGGAGTGCGGTGCATGGCCGTGGCGGAGGGGGCGGCGACGAGGAAGAGGAGCGGGTACGAGATTCAGACACTGACTAACTGGCTGCTGAAGCAAGAACAGGCGGGAACCATCGACGCAGAGCTTACCATAGTTCTTTCGAGTATTTCAATGGCGTGCAAACAGATTGGCTCACTTGTTCAGAGGGCTGGCATTTCTAACCTAACTGGTGTTCAGGGTGCTGTAAATATACAGGGAGAGGATCAGAAGAAGCTTGATGTTGTCTCCAACGAGGTTTGCAACACTGTTATTAATCTTACTCAGATACTGTAATAACAACTGATAAAAAGTAGTTTATAAGTACAGCAGAATATATAGGCATATTTATTTGCGATGGGGCCCTAATTTAATTCAAGATTCCACTACCCATTTGGCTGTTACCATTATATTGTCAGATTTTAGCTTAATTAATGGTGATTTAGTAAGAAAAAATTCAATCTTTTGCGTAAAAATTGAGTCTTTACAAGTTATGTGGGAAAATTGGATTAATCAACTATTGGGTTTTATGTTTTTTTTTTTTTCCTGAATAAAGTATTGTGAAATGTGTAGGTTTTCTCTAATTGCCTGAGGTCGAGTGGAAGAACAGGGATCATAGCATCGGAGGAGGAGGATGTTCCAGTGGCGGTGGAAGAAAGTTACTCCGGCAACTACATTGTCGTTTTCGACCCTCTCGATGGATCATCCAACATTGATGCAGCTGTCTCAACCGGCTCCATTTTCGGCATATACAGCCCTAATGACGAATGCTTAGCCGACATTGAAGCCGATGCCACAGTAAATAAAATAAAATAAAAATCTCCCACTTTTACACCATTTCTATTCTAAAAATTGAATCTTTAAGACAACCAACCTCGTATTATATTTTGCAGCTAGACAGTGTGGTACAACGGTGCGTGGTGAACGTTTGCCAGCCAGGAAACAACCTTCTTGCAGCCGGCTACTGCATGTACTCGAGCTCGATCATATTCGTCCTCACTATAGGCAAAGGGGTTTTCTCGTTCACATTGGATCCCATGTTCGGAGAGTTCGTCCTTACGCAGGAGAATATTCAGATACCTAAAGCGGGAAAGATCTACTCGTTTAACGAAGGGAATTACCAAATGTGGGACGATAAATTGAAGAAGTACATCGATTCTCTTAAGGACCCTGGTCCTAGCGGTAAGCCGTACTCTGCTAGATACATTGGAAGTTTGGTGGGTGATTTCCATAGAACACTTTTGTACGGTGGAATTTACGGTTACCCGAAAGATTTAAATAGTAAGAATGGGAAATTGAGGCTTTTGTATGAGTGTGCTCCGATGAGTTTTATTGTGGAGCAAGCTGGTGGGAAAGGGTCCGATGGGCATGCGAGAGTTCTCGATATTCAGCCGACCGAGGTTTGTATTTCGTGATGTGTTTGTGGAAAATTTGAGTGTGTTTTGGGGGTTTGAGTTTGATTTGTATGCTTGTGTTTGTGTGCAGGTGCATCAGAGAATTCCTTTGTACATTGGAAGTGTGGATGAGGTGGAGAAATTAGAGAAATATTTAGCTTGAAATGACATATTGTAAATGTGGATAAAGTTTCAATTTTGATGAACATGCTTTGGTTCTTAAAGTTAATTCTTTTTCTGCAAGTGAAATTTTTACTATGAATCATGTAATATTTGGGAAATCGAAGGAATCAATGGTTCAAAAGGTGATTAATTATTCATTTGCTCGATTTTATTTTTTCTTTATTACTTCATTAATCTACTCAAAGGGCAAATTACTGCCACCAATAAAGTAAGACCGAATTACGAAAAAACTTCTCATGTTTAGATATTTACAACTACTTTTCTGCTATGAATTTTCTTACACGTCCATTTTTGCGGTATCAAATTTAGTGGAATATTCTTCAATTTATACTCGATTTACCCCATTCGAGGTCCACATTTCGAAACAAGATGATCATCAGATGTGTCTCTTGGCTTGTAAATATCAGATTGTGGTTCATCAGAACCTGCAATTTTGCATAAAATGATTACAAACTAAAGAACATTTCACGTAATCTAGAAGATTTTGTTAAATTTAACAATATAAAGGTTAAAATATAAGAAGATTCATAGTTAAGAGGTGATTGTAATTACTCAAACATGAGGAGTTTTTTCGTAATTCGACCTTCCGTTTGGGGGTGACTCTGGAATTGGTAAAGTACAAATTCATTGATACAAAATAAAAAGTAATTTCAATCTTACCGCCATTAACCAATCATGTTCACACAATTGGCAAAGATAAGCACCTCCAATCATTCACACACACACAGTGAGATCACAATTCACAAGCAGCAAAAAAAGAAAAAAAAAAAAAAAAAAAATGGCTGAAGCAGTTCCCACTTTACGGTGGAACAACCTCAGCTCAGCTGTACGGCCCTCACCCATTCTTTCCAACTCCCGCCTCTCTCCTCCCCATCTCCGCCGCCGCCTACACGGCTGCATCCACCCAAACCGCACCAGCAGTTTCCATCCCAGAATAAGCTGCACCGCCGTCGAAATCGGCGGCGCCGCCCCCGCCCTAACCCCGGCCAAAATCAAGAAAAACAGATACCAAATCGAAAACCTAACAACATGGCTACTGAAGCAAGAACAATCCGGCCACATAGACGCAGAGCTGACAATAGTACTCTCCAGCATTTCATTAGCCTGCAAACAAATAGCTTCTCTTCTCCAAAGATCCAGCATCATCAATCTCACCGGAGCTCACGGCACCGTCAACATCCAAGGCGAAGACCAGAAAAAACTCGACGTCATTTCCAACGAGGTTTTTTTTCACCTTTGGTTTCTTGATCTTTGGTATTTGATGAGGTGAATTATTTTAGTAATGTTTGTATATTGTGTTTTCAGCTGTTCTGCGACTGTCTGAGATCGAGTGGCAGAACCGGGATTATAGCATCGGAGGAAGAGGATGTACCGGTTGCGGTCGAAGAGACTTATTCCGGAAACTACATTGTAGTGTTCGACCCCGTTGATGGCTCCGCTAATATAGACACTAGCTTAACCACCGGATCGATTTTCGGTATTTACGGCCCTGATAAGCAATGCATCTTCGACTTAGACGACGATTCCACCGTAAATTCTTATTTTTCAAAGGATTATATTAGCCTAATTTATCTTCAATTTTTTAATGTTTTTTTGTGTTTTTTTTTAATCAAGTTGGATCAAGCAGAAGAGAAGTGCATAGTGAGTGTTTGTCAGCCGGGAAGCAACTTATTGGCGGCAGGCTATTGCCTATATTCGAGTTCGGTGGTGTTCACACTTTCGATAGGGAGAGGAGTGTATGCTTTCACTTTGGATCCAACTTACGGAGAATTTGTTCTGACACACGAAAACATCAAGATTCCGAATTCCAACAGAATATACTCGTTCAACGAAGGTAACTATGATTTGTTTGATGAGAAGTTGAAGAAGTACTTGGATGACTTGAGAAAACCGGGGCCGAATGGGAAGCCTTATTCGGGCCGGTACATAGGTTGTCTCGTGGGTGAGATTCATCGAATGTTGCTTGTTGGGGGTATTTATGGAAATCCGGACAATAAAAATAGCAAGAATGGGAATTTGAGGCTTTTGTATGAATGTGCACCAATGAGCTATTTGATAGAGCAAGCTGGTGGGAAGTCAATTGATCGACAAGGGCGACGAATACTCGATATTAAACCGACCGAGGTAAATTAAATAACATATAAGGAATATTTTATTTAAGGATTCTTTTTTAAAATTAAAAAATAAAATCATGATTCTGTTTTGTGCAGGTTCATCAGCGTACTCCGATATTCGTTGGAAGCCCAGATGAAATCGAGAAACTAGAGAAGTATTTATTTGAATAGTAGCACAAAATATTTGTGGATTCATTCATTTAATTGAGAATTTAACAAAATTCGTCGAACATTGTTTTTCCTATACACCATTGTTAAAACCTCAGTAGAGTGGAAACATGAGAAATATGAATGTAAGTATAATCAAATACTAAGTAAGAATGTCAGGTTAAGACAATAGTTTCCTTCAGTTAATTTCTATTGGACGGGTTCTCCAGACCCGAATTGCCTCGTGTTTTTAACTGCAAACAAAAAAATATCTACGTCAGATAAAAGTTATGGATTGCAATGTAAATAACAAATTTAGTCGAGTCTAATTGGGATGGAAAATTTACCAGGACTGACAATTCTAATACGTTTTGTGACGGATCGCATAGCTGCAACAGTATCTGTTCCTGCTTGCATACAATCGGAACACAATATTCAACTTCGATGTTTCGTAGCAGAAACGAAAAAAAAAAACAAGGCTGAAGTTTTTCAAGTTCTTACCGACAAAACTCGTGTCTTTCTCACTACGATATTCTGAAATGGTGGATGTATACTCTGATGTAACTTGTCCAGTACCCGTTTCAACGTTTTCCGAAGTAAGTGGTGACCTGAAATAACATGTAGATTAGATTATTTATATATATGAAAAAAACGATGAGGAATATTCATGTAAACGACAGTGCAATTACGTACCCTGAATGAGAATCTGGAGAAGAATCATCAAGTGTTTCGTTAGAAGATAAATCGAGTCCATCACTTCCTAAATCAAAGTTGTATAGAAACTCCGAAAGGTTGAAATCCACACCCAAAGCATCCAAATTAGGAAAATCCAAACCAAGAATATCCCCTTCTTTTTCCGATTCAGATGTAGAGTTATTACCCTCCGGCGTTTGGTTCTCTGGAATCACCGGCATTTCACAAGTGCCAAAATCGAGCCTTCCCTTAACGTGTTCCTTCACATTAGACCTCTTCGAGTTTGTCTTTAGCGGCGAGCAAGTTAAGGTATGGTTCTTCTCTATCGAGTAATAAGATATTTGCTTGTTGGGGCTAACACGAATAGTCTCCGAAGAGATTATTGTGCGGTTAGAAGACGTAATTGTTTGAGTGGTTTCTTTACTGGAAGTAGCAGTTGAATGATTTTCTAACGGGGAAGTTGACTTTTCAGCTTGAGAAGAAGATGCTCGTGGGGGTGTTTTGGGGAAAGACGAATTAGATGGAGGAGATGGAGTTTCTTGATTGAACAGACACTTAGCCACATTGTTACATCCTTGTACTGGCGAAGTGCTTCGAGCATTATCACAAGCAGACGACTGAGCCGCAGAAGTTATCAGGGATTTTTGTTGATTTTCTTCTGAGTTAACATCTGCAATAACACAGCACAAAAAATCAGCACCAACCAATTACAAGCATCACACTTCCTTGAATTTTTTTAAAACACAATATATATACCTTTGGATTGCGTGCTTCTGCGAGATTTCTTGGAAGGGGCGGGACCATCCGAGACACACTTGGATTGTTTTCTCTTTGTTGTGTTATGATACATAACAGGCGTCGAGAAATCAACAGGATGTTTTCGATTATTGGAGGGCCTGGATGTAGACATCATAGCTGGAGTGTTGTACATGGGATTGTAGCCTGAAGAACACAATTATTGAGATTACTGATAAATAAATTGTCAATTACAGGGGGGAAAAAAACATGAATGGTGTACAATTAGTCTATTAACTTAGATGCATACTGGAAAATTTGATCCAATTTAAGAAGAACCTAAGCCAATTTTGATATCCAAATTAATCAGATCTGAAGTCAACTAAGATAAGAAAAATTAGGGCAAAATTGTTACCTGCGAGCCCTGCAACTGTAGCTTCAGCCTGGGAAGACATAGGCACAGATCCAACAGGCGGCGGAGGCAGCGGCAGGGGAGGGCCGCCGGAGTTATAAGCGTTCATGACACCCTGCATGCCGCTAAGCAAATTCTGCACCCGGAGGTTTTCCTGTTCCAAACGACACCGTTCCTGGTCAACCCACACCTTCGTCTCTTTCAGCGTGATGTACTCTTCCAAAATCGCCCCCAAACTCAACAAACTCTTCGGAGCCTACAAAAAAACATCCATAAATCAAACGAATTCGACCATAGATTTTCAGCTGAAAAAAATTAAACATAATACTACGAAATTACCTCCTGAACGGGCGATTTGGAAATGAGATCTGACGCTTCGGAGCGGAAAGCGGTGCGCGTTTGGGCGTAACGGTTGTCGGAAAGGTAACGATCGACGATGAAGGCAATCTGAACAGGGGTTACCTTACCATTGCCCACGAATTCCTGTTTCTTCGATCTGCTTTGCTTAACCATTTTCCCCTTTTCCACCTGTTTTCCCATCGGCCGCCGGAGAATAAAATGCAGATGCGAGATTGGGATAGAGTGAAAAAATGGGAGAGACGGTGTGTTGAATAGTGTGAAAGAGGGAATAGAAAAAACGAAGGAGGGAGAAAGAGTACGCGGGAGCATTTCAAATTTTTTGGAGGTAAGCTTTGCTCCATTGTTCGTTCAGCTATTTTTAGCGGGTGATTTTTGGGGTTAACTTTTTTTACTTTCCCTCCAAAATTAATTATTTGGATCCACAATCGGATTCGAATTGTATTCATTCTGACCAAATATTTCAACTTTTTAATATTGAATATTTTTCTTTTTACTATTTAATATTGTTATTTGGAAAAAAATCTCAACAAGGCAATAAATTTTGATTTTTTTGGAAAATCTTATAAATATTAATAATTTTGATACTATTTTTATTAATTTTCTGGTAAAAAATTCAAAACATTTTTTTACCTAATTACAAGTTGTAGTGTATACGTATATATTTTTCATTTTTTTTTCCTAAAAATGAAATATTTGGAAATTGACTGGAGAAAAATATATCAAAAATCACAATCAAAGGAATTTAAAAAATCAATTATGAGTTAAGTAATTAAAAATTATTAGGTGACAAATTATTTTCATTCCGAATTTCTAAAACTCCGAATTATGTTATATGTTTTGTTTTCTGAATTTCAAGAACTTCGATTTTTTATTTTTGTAGGATTGTCGTCATAATAAATATGAGAAATCCGATTTCCGATCCCATTTTAATTTGTGAACACTTCAATTTGTCCAAAAGAAGTAAACTATTTATAATTTAATAAATGCAACATATTTTATATTTTAGGTGATTAAAAATATAATCTTCTGAATTTCGTTGATCCGGTACCGAAAATTACCGTTTCGAAATTTTTTCGCCGTTCCAATTTTTTTATTATGAAAAAAATCAAGTTTTTAAAAAGTATTAATTACGATTCTATCCTTCCAATTTCTACCCTAAACAATATAGTAAACAAGTCCAGCCCAATAAAGAATTAGTTTTACAAATTCGGGCTGGATCCAAATAGGCCCGATACAAAGCCCAAATACTCACTCTCTCTCCAGCAACGTTATCCACTACCAAAAACCAAATTCTCAAAACAGAGCAAAGCTAAAAAAAAGAAGCATCATCAGCTGTAGAAGCTCAACGAAGAAGATGAAGCAAGGGCTCCTCTCATGGAGTCACTGCCCATACCCAAAACCCCTCTCCTCCCCTTTCTCCACCGCCATTAAACCCAGATTTACGAAACCTAAATTATCAACAATCACTGTAACTCTCAATTCTGTAGATGAAAGCCCGCTTACTGGTCGAGAGAGAAGGCAGATGAGGAACGAGAGACGAGAGAGCAAACCTGCGTACAATTGGAAGGACGATGTCGAGACGAAGCTCATTAAGAAGCCGACCAAACGCTACGCCTCGTGGACGGAGGAGCTCAATTTGGATAATCTCGCTTTGCTCGGGGAGCAATGGTGGGTAATTAGGGTTTCTAGGGTTACAGGCGAAGAAACCGCCGAGAGAATGGCCCGTGCTATGATCCGAACTTTCCCTAGTATGGATTTCAAGGTACATTGTTTTTTCTGTTTCCAATTTCTTCTTATTAAGTTTTTTTGTTGTTGAATGGTTCGAATTGAGATTGCTGTATTGGATTTGTGCTGATTAGGGTTTGTTCAAATTTTGAGTAGAGTTGAAGTTGGAAATGTTTGTTTGTTCTTCTGATTGTGCTGTAATGGTGATCTGCAGCTTTATCTTCCATCGGTGAAAATCAAAAAAAAATTGAAGAGTGGAATCGTCTCTGTAAAACCGAAACCACTATTTCCCGGATGCGTGTTTCTGAGAGCTGTATTGAACAAGGAGTTACACGACTTCATTAGAGAATGTGACGGTGTTGGAGGGTTTATTGGCTCCAAGGTCGGAAATACGTAAGCGTTGTTCTCTCTTGTTCATTATAACGAAATGTAATGCATGACGTAAATATTGTATAGTTGTAATATGTATATATATTGCTAAACTTGATGCTTGCGAATCGATCACAAAACCGTAAACTATTTCAAAGCATGCTTTTTTTTTTTTTTTTTACGTTGTCGTTTTGCAAGTAGTGACGGGAGATAGATAAAATATTGAAATGTGCAGAAAGCGTCAGATAAATCTACCTAGGGCAGTAGATGAAGATGACATAGAAGCAATGAAAAAGCAAGCAAAGGAAGAGCAGGAGAAAGCCGATCGAGCTTTTGAAGAAGAAGAGCTAAAAGCGAGTGAAGCTAAGAAAAACGGGGCTGTAGACTCTCCTCTGGTTACACAGACAAAGAGTGGTGCACGAGGTAGAAAAGCTGCTACAGCGGGAAAATCTACTTCCTTGAAACCTGGTTCAACTGTCCGAGTTTTATCTGGATCATTTGCTGGATTTTCAGGCACACTTAAGAAGCTTGATAAGAAAACGGGGCTGGTATGTACTCTTGTTTGATCCTTTTATTTACGTAGTGAAGTTTTTTCTTTTGTCCCCAAAACAAGCAACCATTTAATAGATGAAAAATCGATAGAATCCTTGTTAAAGAACAAGAACTTTGAAAATAATAATAAAATTAGAATGGATGGATAGAAACTGAAATCGAATTTCTAAACTGCTCAAACTTATACCTCGAGCTTAAATTAAATTGCTTATGCATGCACGATAATCTTGCTTCTGCTTGCTCCTACGTAGTTTTTACTATCTAAGAATTCTTGCAGGCAACAGTTGGATTTACACTGTTTGGGAAGGAAACTTTGGCAGATATTGATGCCAAGGAAATTACCGCCGAGATGAATTGACATGCAATTACTGCAGATCTTCTTAGATGGTAAATCATATATTAATGCACAGGAAATACGAATGGAAAAGAAAAAAACCAAGCACAATAAACATGCAACTAGATGTTCGAAAATTCGAATTATTGCTACCATGGTTAACTAAATAGGCTCATTGAGATTAATTTATCGGGAAAATTGTTGAAGTCTGTCTGTTTATGTTGTTGTAAGATCAGATAGGAAGGTGATTAAAGTAAAAATTACAGGATCTGAGTTGTAATTTTTACACACTGAAGGAATATGTAGAAAAATATATGTTAGGCCTTCTGGTTTTTAAGTGGTCATTGAATCTTTTATTAATTTCGGGAATAACTTGGATTTGTTGAAATGGTAGAGATAAGCTACGGTTAGCTATGATTAATTAAATAATTGGAATTTGTTTGATGTTTTGGAAACCCGATAACTTATTGGGTCGATCTAAAAGTATTATGTTATCATGTTTTGTAATACCTTTTAGTGTCAATAAAACAATTGTTTTTTTCATTAGATTATTTAAATGATTTTTCTATAATTAATTCAAATTTAAACAGTGAACAGAGCAGATTATTATCCTCGTATTGTAGGATATTCATTGCACATGAATAGGTTTAAAACCATAAACAGAATACTTATGATCCATATTCTTCACAAGACTACCTAATCTTAATCCTAATCTAATCATTCTTTAAAGCATCAAACCAACGAGCCTAAAAGTAGGGAGTTTTCAGACAATAAAAAAGGAACTAATAATTTGAGTCACCAAACACGATTTTTTGGCAACAATTCTCCTCCATTAATGAAAATAAATTTAAAAACCAAAAGTCACACCACAAAAAATCGAATATAAATTTAAGTGGGTAGGGACCCACCAAAATTAAAGCTCTTTAACTTTGCCTTAGCTGTCATAATGAGGCATTAATTGCAATACTTGATTTCTTATTGGACAAAAAGTTTCAACCAATGTATGTGTTTGGTAAAATAAAATAAGGTACAAATTGGACCACTCAGTACTTAATTACCAGAGCCAGGCCCAATTTGGGTTGGGCCTCGGCTAGTATATTTAGTAATAAACTATAGTACATTAAACAAATAACTAAATATTATGATAATTAAATGAAAATGTGAGAATGAACAGCTAATTAAGCAAATAGTGAAAATAAATAATTAATGAAAATGAAAAAATGTACATGTGCATGTTGGGAGAGGCACATGACCAAGACAAAGAAAGTTCGTTAAACAAATACAGTGAGCCGTCCTCTTCCCCAAACTAAAGGTCCACATGCCAAGCTGTCATATATATCTGTTTCAAGTGTGTGTGTGTGTGTGTTTTTTTCTTCTTTTCTTTTATACACACAAACAACATTTGTAGATAGATACGTACACTTGTCTGTGAGTATACATGGAGTAGACCGTTGTATCAATCAAGAAGACAATGAGCATGCACGCGGTTATTATCTGTTTGCTGTGTGTGTGTGTGTGTGTGTGTGTGTTATAAATAATTATAAAGCTTATTATTAATTATTTATTATTGCAGGAAATTAAAAGAAGTGTTGGGTGATTAGAGTAATCACAGTAGCCAAAAAGCTCAGAGCAGGTTTATTTATTGTCGGGTGAAGACCAAGAAGTCACTGTATTTATATACGTTTCACTGCTCAACGAATCTTTTTTTTTCTTTTATATATATATATATATATATATATATATATATATATATATATATATATATATATATATATATATATATATATATATAAAATATTAAGTAAAGTTTGATAAAGATATTAATGGTAAGGCTTTACAGTAAACAGTGATCAATTCACTAATCACTAGTCACATAAATATGAGGTAAATAACAGCCATCTATAAGTTATGGTCAAATTATGAAAAAATCTCTCATGTTTGAGTAATTACAATTACACTATTAGCTATGAATTTTTTTACACGTCCTTCATCAGGGGAGCAGATAAAATTATTACAAAAAACCCCCTCATGAATCTTCCTACCCCTCTTAAGTATTGGAAAATTCATAGTTATAATTATCCGAAGGTTTTTTCGTAATTTAACCTTACATTAGGAGATGGTTGTAATTTACCCCACGTATATATATATATATATATATATGTTACTATGTTAGGACTAAGGAGAGGACCAATAATCTTTATTGTATATACTTTTTTAAAATAATTCAAATGTTTCGATTTTCACAATAAATTTGAATATTCAATAACTAAAAGAAATTATTATTTAATTCAATGATGAAAATTAATAATGTGTGGTTAGGTATGAAGCATTGATTTTGAAAAACTAAATGTTCTATTAAATTGTCTTATTCTTAGTCATTTGACATTACATAATTCTTTTATAAAATCTTCAAGGACAACTCAAAAGTGCAACACTACAAGCACTAGAGAGCAAAATGTAAATGAAATGAGGACCATGACTGCAAATTCAGAAAAATACAAGGGCATAATCGTAAAGAATCTCATATTATATTCCCTCAGTCAGCAACCACTCTGAAGAAAAAAAAAAGTGAAACAGACAGTGTAGCAGAAACAAGTAAAAAAAGAAACGTATTTAATTTTCACAACCTCCCAAACACAGCCCCTCTCCTCCCTCCACCACCACCACCACCACCACCCACCACCCACCATCCCTTACCCATTTCCCCAAGCTTCTTCCATACCTCTGCTCTCAAACCCTAGAAAAATTCATTAAAAAATCCAGCTTTCACCATTTACTTCTTCCTACATGGGCTTTTTCCAAGAACCCATTGTAAATCCAGAATAAAAAGCACACAGTTTTGTTCATAGAGAAAAACCCAGATCAAATATGGCTGTTTTTTCCTCTTCCAGGTACTTTTTAGCTTTCTTGTTACTTAATATTTTCTTGAAAGTTATCAATGGCGAGCCAAATATAACCTTTTCTTTCAAGAATTTTGGTAAAGACTCAAACTTTGGGTCCCAGCTTTCACTGTTTGGGGATGCTAAGGTTGCTAAGGATAATGCATCCATCCAAATGTCTGGTTCTGGGGTTTTTACTTCTGGGAGATTCATTTGTAAGAAACCCATTAATCTTGTTGAAGGAAAATCAAGAAAAATGGTGTCTTTTTCAAGTTACTTTGCTTTTTCTATGTCTAAGGAAAAAGGGGATGGCTTGGCTTTTGTCATGCTCCCTTTTGGGTTTCCTTTGAATTTATTCGATGGTGGGTCTATGGGAATGTTGGGGGAGAGAAAAACAAAGTTTCTTGCAGTCGAATTCGACACGTTTAAGGATGAAAAATACGGCGATGTGAATAGCAACCATGTCGGGCTAGATGTTGAAAGCCTTGTCTCTGTTAAAGTGAGCAATGCTTCGTCGGTAAGGTTGTTGCTAAACAGCGGAGAGAAGTTGCAGGCGTGGATCGATTACGAAGCGAGTGGTAAAAGATTCGAAGTGAGGTTGAGTGAATTGGGCCAAAATCGGCCGGTTGATCCGTTGCTCTCTTACCCGATTGATTTGTCGAGAATGTGGAGGAACGAGAATGTTAGCGTGGGATTGAGTTCGTCGAGTGGGAATTCTTCGCAGAAGATTAATATTTATTCGTGGAGCTTCAAATCAAGAACTATGCCGCATTGGATGCACTCAGAGCCAATGGATCCGGAGGGTCTTTCAGAGAAGGGAGACGAGATTAAGGTTCCTAAGAGAAGTGATAGTTGTGCTCTAAGAATATTTGCTGCATTAATTTTCGGAACTGGATGCGGTGCATTGGGGGCTTTCTTGGTGCTGTTTGTGTGGACTGTCTTCGGAAATAGGCGACCAGTCGTGCCTGAGGAATTTGCTGTGGAAAAAGACGAGTTCGAGGGAAAAAAATCGGGCGTTTCGTTAGATAAGAAAACCGTCGAAGATGGTAAGAAGTAGGTGTTGGGATTTGCAGATTAGAGACAATGTGTATGTGTGTGAGTGTGTGTTTTCTTGTTTGTAAATCATGTCATGTTTGCTAGTAATTTGAGAGTCTTGTGGTTTTTGGTATGGTGCTGTAATAAAATGATCAACCATTCTTGCAATATCATCCTATTATGTATGGCTTGATCATTGAAATACAGCTTCATTTTGAGAAGATGTATGGTTTATATCTATCTTGGGACTATATTAATTTTTTTCAATGATTATGAATTTTCTTGTGTATTTTGGAAGTATTATTCATGTGTGAGAAACTTCATTCGGATTTAACTTTTTGCTTCTGCATAGTGTTATTGCTTTTGCATAGTGATTTTGTTAGTGAATACAAGTAAGAAACATGAATTGGATTTTCTTGGTAAAAAAAGAAAGAAAATATGAATCTTTAAGAGATAAGAGTTCAATTATTTGGATTGTCTATAATGTATGGTGTTTCTTCCTATTTGAACATTATATACACTATTATATACATAGTGTTTTTTGGATAACGTAGGAGCAACGAATAAATCTACACTATCATATATATAGGTGTAATGAGTAAACTTACACTCTCGTACACTATCATATATATAGGTGCAATTAGTAAACTTACACTCTCGTATTTATAAATTATACGAGAGACGTAAATCAGACTAGGTTAACTATATGTGACAATCTCGGCCTAGCGACTGTTGGCGAGTAGAATTGAATATGAGTCAATTGACACATGTTCAGTTATATACAACACATAGATTGGGCTGCAAAATTAGGCCCAATCCAGTGGGCTGCAAAATTGCCCAATCCAGTGGGCTGCAGAATGCCTCTAGATGAATAAAATTAGGTCCAATCCAGTGGGCTGCAGAATGCCCCTATAATTACGCCTTGCGACGTCGTATCACAGGCCCTAGGGTTTCTCGATCGCCCCTTTTAATATCCGTTCTCGAAGAAGCTAATTTATCTGCCGAGCCTGGTTGAAATGAAACCTCCGAGATTAAATTAACTTCATTCTATTTCTTACGGGAATTTTTGATTCTACGTTGATTTCATTTGGTTTTGTTTTTTCGATTCAATTATTTATCTTTGGATTTTTGGCGCTGGATCGGTGATGTTTTATAAAACTGCGTTATCTATCTGATTGTCCATTTTGGATCTGAAGATCAACTTTGCATTTCTGAGATCCCTTCGCTATTTTTATTTCTTTTAAAAAAAAAAAGGATTGATGGGAGGAAGAGTATCGAAGATGAGTACAGTGAAAATGTTATCCTTGCACTTTGATTGTCAGTGAAGAAAACTCACGGGGAATATTCCATATTCTGAGATCTGCTTCCCCCACCCTTTTTTTTTTAATATATTTTATTTAAATTTAATTTGGATTAATGATGTCAAATAATACACGCTGTCTGTCTGCTCTTTCTTGGAAAGATTTGATGACAATTTCGTGATTCTGAAATCCAAATATTTCCAGTATTTACTAATCTTTTGAGTTCTCTTATTAGTTTATGATTTTTAAATTATCATTTTTTGTATATGATTTGATGTAACATCCCGGTAAAATCCAAGTTAGGATTCCGGTCGACTTAGTTTTGGGCCGGTTCGTTAAAATGTTGAGGCATTATGTAACAATTATATGTTTCTAAAATATGTCGAATTAGTTATATGTGTCAATGTAATTTTATATTTGAAATATGCTTTTCTGGTTGTACATATTATGCTTGTATAGTTGTATTGTTAATTTTAATAGGCCCAAATCCAATGTCCTTAGAATTTGTAAAAGAATGGGCCAACACTATCTAAAATAGTAACTCATGAATGATTTCGTCGTGGGCCTGCTTGCTTGTTGCCGTTTGACAGTTCAATCCACCATCATACTCGTATTATTCAACACTGTAGATGCATGGTTCGGTGAATGATTTATGAATGTTTTTTACTAGCCAAAGTGTTTTTGGTTTGTTGAAGAATCAAGTTCATCGTTATCACTTCATATAATAGGGTAAATTACAACCAATCCCCTGAGACATGGTCAATTTACGAAAAAATTCATCTTTTTTGGATAATTCTATCTATCTCCTCAACTATGTTTTTTTTCTTACACCTCCACCCGTATGGTGTCAAATTCAATATAATCACATGGATTTCGTGGACTGTGCTCTAGGTTGTACTCGTTTTTGTGTAAAAATACATTTTCTGATGCATCACAATCTGATATATACAAGCCAAAAAACACATATTATGATCATTTTGCTTCAAAATGTGGAGTTCAAATGGGATAAAACGGTTACAAACGTGATAATATTTCATATAATCTAGAAGATTCCATTAAATTTTATAGGTGAGGGGTGGTTGTAATTACCGAAACAAGAGGGAATTTGTTGTAATTTGATCATACTTCAGGGAGATGGTTGTAATTAATGGGGTAAATTACAAACACCCCCCTGAGGTATGGTCAAATTACAAAAACACCCCTCTTGTTTGGATAATTACAACCACCCACTCAGCTCTTCAAATTTAGTGGAATCTTCGAGATTATATGAAATATTATCACTTTTGTACCCGTTTTATACCATTCAAACTCTACATTATGAACTAAGATGATCATAATATGTGATTTTTAGCTTGTGTATATCAGTTTGTAGTGCATCGAAAACTGCATTTTTACACAAAACGAATACAAACTAGAGCACATTCCACGGAATCTAGATGATTATATTGAATTTGGCACAATAAGGGTGGAGGTGTAAGAAAAAATCATAGTTGAGGGGGGTAGATGTAATTATCCAAACAAGAGGGGGGTTTTTGTAATTTAACCATACCTCAGGGGGTGTTTGTAATTTACCCTAATTTATATGGTTATGCAAGATAAGTTGATTCGTTGGTTGGACTTGATAATCACCGAGTGTAGCATAGGTTCCGTCGAATAATGAGGCACATTTATAAATAAAAATAAGTAAATAAATACGAATTCGGGGTTTAATGTGTGAGCAACGTGGCATAACTGATACCACAATTGTACCCTTATTTCTTCGCCATTCATTTTCCTCACAGTCAAACTGAGAAGGCTTTTCCGAATTACTCCTTCCTCAAGTAAATCTCAATTCCAAGAACCTTCCTACTTCAATCACTCAATCTGTATCTATATATATTTGATTTATATCAGCACATTATACAGAAACAATTCAAACATTTAATATTTTTATTTCCCAAAACATATTTACAAAAAATGGGTATGGTGTTCGGGAAAATCGGTGTTGAAACTCCCAAGTACGACGTCGTATCCTCCAACAACGATTACGAGATCCGACAATACCCGCCGGCGGTGGTCGCCGAAATAACCTACGATCCCGCCCAATTGAAAAACGACAAAGATGCTGGTTTTCCGATCTTAGCCAACTACATCGGCGCATTCGGCAAAGCCCAGAACACCAAAGCCGAGAGCATCGCCATGACAACTCCGGTGATAACGAAGGCGCCGCCTCCGTCGGAGAAGATAGCCATGACCGTGCCGGTGGTGACCAAGTCCGGCGGCGAGCTGGTGACGATGGGGTTTATACTTCCGTCGACGTACGTGAAGGCGGAGGACGCGCCGCGGCCGGTGGATGAGAGGGTTGTGATAAGGGAGGAAGAGGGGAAGAAGTACGCGGTGGTGACGTTCAGCGGGGTGGCGGGTGAGAAAGTGGTGGCGGAGAAGGTGAAGAAGCTGACGGAGTTTCTGGAGAGAGATGGGTGTAAGGCGGCCGGGGATTTTGTGCTGGCTAGGTATAACCCGCCGTGGACTCTGCCGCCGTTTAGGAAAAATGAAGTTAGGATTCCGGTCGAGTGATTTTCGGGAATCCGTTGAGCCGGTTTTATTTTCAGTGTGAATGATTAATTATGTCGAATTTATTTACGTGTAATTGTGATTTTATTTTAATAAAAAAATTAATTACATTAATCACTTCCCTGTTAAGCAATGTCATGTGGAGTATATTGTACGGAAATTTCAAATTTCAACATGTTAATGTTTATGTGTTTTGTGTCGGAAATTCGAAAGACACGTGTCCAACACTTTATGGGTTGTTTTGTAATTTTTGAAAAGTTAGAAACCTATCTGAATAGCAAATTTTAAAATATTTTATGTTATTTCAAATTATTTAAATGATTTAATGATCAATTTGCAAATTGATAGTTGATAGAAAAATTTATTTTGAATATGTGTGTATAAAATAAAATAATATATAAAAAGAATGGTAAATTACAATCACTTCTAATGGTCAATTTACGAAAAAAAATCCATTTTGTTTGAATAATTATATCTAGCTCCCTCAACTATGATTTTTTCTTGCACATCCATCCTTATGGTGTCAAATTCAACATAATCATTTAGATTTCGTGGAATGTGCTATAGTTTGTACCCGTTCTGTGTAAAATACAGTTTATGATGCACATCTGATATCTACAAGCCGAAAAACACATATTATACTCATCTTGCTTCAAAATATGAAGGTCGAATGGGATAAAGCGGATATAAAAGTGCTAATATTCCATATAATCTCGAAAGTTCCACTAAATTTGAAATCCGCAAGGATGAACGTGTAAGAATATTTACAGTTGGGGTGGTCGTAATTACCCTAACAGGAGGGGGTTTCGTAATTTGACCATACCTAGGGGTGGTTGTAATTTACTAATTTACCCTAAAAAAGAATTTATATATAAATAAATACTTTTTTTAAATAGAATATTTATAAATATAACCCCTACACTTTTAATATTTACAAATTTCCCCCAAGTTCCTGTATCCCCATTTTTGGAACATGCCCTTTCCCGTATCCGTTTCCCAGTTTCCCCGTATCCCCGTTTCCGTGCTACATAGAATGTCATAAAGATTCCTCCTCCAACTCTTTCTCACGAGTCACGAGCTCAAAGTTTTAAAGATTCCATGTTTGCTAATATGGTCTGTTGGCATCATTTAATTCATTCTATTTCAATCCTCGACTTCTTCAAACCCTCGCTCAATATGTTGTACTTCTCGTTCTTTTTCGCCACCAACTCCAGCCGCACCACCCCAATATTCACCGGCTGCGACGACATCATTAGCGTCGGCCAACCCATCGGAAGCTTATCACCTATTTCAGTTTGCCACGTACACCAAAACTTGTCGTAGGTCTTCGAGAGATTTGCAAAAGTTCGGGTTTCAGAACCATTTCTGGTACCCGAGGATTCACCATAAACCCTGATTTAATCTCGTACGCATGGGAATGCCATAGTTTCTGTTCATCCGGAGATAAACTCTCGAAGATATTACCCGATACGATGTACTCCACTCCAATGAGACGGGCAGTGGAGTCGTCGGAACCGTAAACGGCGCACTGGAGAAAGTCCTAGTTGAGCCGAGTCACGAAGTGGCAACTTTTAACAAGACGGGAGACTACATAACAAAATCGAAATAGCAAGAATTTTACAACTTTCTTGCAAGAACTGCAGAGCATGTGAAGTATACTCATAATAATGTTTGCTTGAACACAAATAAATAGTGAAAAAATAAATTGAATAAATTATATGTACTGTACTTCTCTGAAGCAAGAAAACAAAAAACATTTGTATCTATCTATCTCTACACAGTTTTACACCCTGTGGTGTGTGTGTTATCACCAAAAATATTTAACCAACTTCTCAGCTCACAAAAGGCTGGTGCTATTTAATCTTTCACCAATTGTAACAACACCTCACAAACCATTAATCAGATCACATTTAATTTCTTTCTCTCTCTCCCTATTGTGTGACCCTTTTTCCTGCTATGGTACACCCCATTTTTACCTGTACCAATTTCAATTCACATTGTGTACTATACAGTATTCGATTTCGTTTTCGATGTTTCCTTTTTCTTTTTTACTATAAAACTAAAACCCGAAAAAAAATTAAAAAAAATAAACCTATCTTTGTGAAGCAGCGCTAGTCGAACCACCAGGCCGTTGATCTTTATTACATACACATCCAGGAAATGGATTAGCGTAGAAATTCTCTTCGAGCCTCGGTAATTGCCCCGGTTGTCTTAGGTACGGCCCACCGAGTCTCTCCGAATGTAGGCCCTTCACCTCCGAAGCAAATTCTTCCCAAGAAATCGAGCCCGAATCCAATGAATCAATCAGTTTAACAAATTCCAACCTGAAAATAAAAAAAGCAATGCATTTAGTATACACATATATATTTATATATGTCGATTTAGGGGTGCAAATCGGACCAAAAAGTCCGATTTCCGATCCGATTTTAATTTCCGACAAAATTTCCGAAAAATTGCACTTATAATACATACAATTTCCGATTTTTCCGATTTTTTTTTGGATCAAAATTGGAATTAATTTTCCGAAAATGCTAGTTCCAATCCGATCGGAATTTCCACCCGTAATTATATTATGTTAAAATATATTGAATTTTTTTGAAATTTACCTGTCGGGATTTATTGTTCGCCTAAATCCTTCGAACCTACGATGGCCTTGCACAGCCTTAGCCATATTCCCATCATACGTGTAAACAAACGCGTCGCTCTCCAATGCAATAATATAATCCAATGCAGCTAGTCGATTTTGATATTGCTTGAAGGGTTCAAGCTCTTCTTCCGTTGCGAGAGTTGAGTGAGAGTATACGTTGGGATATTCCGCCCCGAGCGCAGCCATACTGTTGTTACCGTAGATTTCGCCCGCAACTATATATATTTTGGTGGAAGAAGGGTACCCCATTGCCTTGAGAAATAGTGCTGCCTCTCTCGGTGACATTGGGCAACCCCCTTGTAGCCTCTTCTCTTTGCTGTCGATTTCTTTCTCCTTCCAATGCTTTACGTTGTACCGCATTACACGGAGTTCTTCGGCTTCGTATTTTGTTAGGTTGTGGTCACAGCCGGTGAACGCTAGCATATCCTTTTCGTACCTGATTAACAAAAAAGAGATAGAAATTAGCTCCGATTTATGCCGATTCGAATACGAAATTTTCCGATTTTGGAACGACATTTTCATTCCAAATTCCAATTTCCGATTCTTCCTGATTTTTTTATCCGAATTGGAATATATATGAATTCTGATTTCCGAAAATTCCGAAAAATCCGAATATTTCCCCAAAAATACATTTATAAATCAACATAATATGTATTTCATATTAAAAATGAATAAAAATTGGAATTTCCAAATTCTACCCTATTCCGATCCGAAAATTTCTGATTTGGTAACAATTTTTTTTATAATTTCTGAAATTCTGATTTTTACCATTTTTTCTGGAAACGGAATTGGAATTAGTTTTTTTCACTTTCCAAAAAAATTTAGAATTTTTCCAAAAATGCTAATTCCGGTCCAATTAGTCCGATTTCTACCCCTCGTTTAGTTATATAAACATAAAAGATTATTTTAATTACCTCAAGTGAAGAGCGATAAAGGGTTCTCCTTCGTCTCTCAATCTCTCGACTAATTTCTTTCCGAGATCCTCGATTTCCGGGGTGTAACGAAGGGCTTTGTAATTTGCTCGACACCTTAATTTCTGTATAGAGGAAGCGAGGCCGTTGTTTGCTAGCCTCGAGTCTGTGTGGGTGAATTTGATCACCTTATGTTTCTTTAACAAAGGAAGAATCTCTCCTCTGTAGTAACTTGCCTATCGAACGAGCATTTTAACGTTAATTTTCGACGCCAAAAAAAAATTAAAAAAATCTGAAGTAAACTGTGGTTAGTATTTTAGTACTATACCTTTGACCAAGAGACAGGTGCTTTAATCAAGGGATTCTTCGATGCATATTTCGATGGCAATTTTTCGACTATCTCGATATCTTGTTTCAACACTTCAATGAAATGCCTCCAATCAAATATATCCTTGAAATCACTGTTTAGACAACGAAACGAAATAAATATACAAAAACATGCAACATATTATTATTATAAAAGAGTAACACGAATGGCGAACCCGTTACCTAGGATCTGTCCAAAAGCTATCATGATCGAGGGAAGGAAGAACGAGAGTGGCGTTCATAATCTTCGCCACTGCCACCATATCACATATCTGGAATTAAAAAAAAAACCGAAATAAAAAGTTAGTAATGCTATGATCGACGATCAAAATAAAACATATATTGGGTGAAATTTCTTACCCCTGTTCTCATTTGATTCAATCCGCCATTCGCGTGAACTAAAATGTAGCCGTTCGTTGCAGCCTTCGTCCCTGAACGAGTTCGAAAAACAGTTAAATTAAATTAAATGTCGAGAAAAAAAAAATCGTTTGCACATAACAAATGAATCTTTACGTACGTATGCGATTCCTCGGACGAGCTATACATTGGTAATAGTTGTCGCTGTTTGGTTTCATCCATATTTCTGGTACCTGTCAAGAAATAATCCATAAAATTAAATTAAAAAAAATCAAATATTTTATTTATTTATTTATTTTTCCTTTTATTTTATTATTTTGGTTGTTAAATAATAGGGAAAAATAGCAGCACAACGGTCAAATAATCAGTAGAATTCCACATGGATAGCAATTATAGGAAACTTCTGTCTGGCTACAATTTATTTGCCGTCCCCACTGACATTCTTTTTGGGTCAATAAACAACTTAAAATTCCAAACTACTATTTCATTTATTTAAATTATAAAAATACAAAAAAAACCCATGAATTAATGATATTATTCCCAGGATAATATTATTAAATTCACCCATTCTTGAATGTCTGTTGAGTTTTTTAAAGTTGGAACACTGGTTGGAAAAAAACATGGAAAGTTGAATTAATTATCAGGATTCAATTAAAATTTGGTGATTATCTGAATCATTAAATACCTGAATTAGAAAATCAGAATCATTAATCCAAGAAATTCAATAATCATTGACCGCAATTCCATAAAACTTCAAAAATTCAGTTTTATTTTATTTCAATTTTCCACTTTAAAAAAAAGATCAAAATTTTTAGTTTTTAACTCACCGGAAATTCTTTCATCTGCCGCTTCTGACCGGCGGCGCCGGAAGAAGATTCCGAATCAAAAACTGCGCTGTGGGCATTAGACAGCAAATTATTCTTGAAATTCTGTATGAACAAAATCTGGTTCTCCATCCTGGCAATCTTCGCGCCGGCTTCCACCGCCGCGCCGCCGCCCATGAAGAAGGAAAATTTGAGAAACGCCGACACAACCACCATCAATATAAGGCACATGAAAACCGTACGGCCGATATTCTTCCTCGATGCCAAAGAACCCAAAGCGCCGCAAGCACTCAACAAACATTCCTCCACGCACAAAACCCAATTCTCCGGCACCCTTTTCCGGGAAAGGAAATACCGCACCACCGGGTGGTGCTGGTAAATCATGTTGTTGCCGTTGTTGAACAATGCCTCCTCGTTCACATCGCTCTTCGAATGGTCCAGCGCGATCTGCACCGCCGCCTGATCGGCGGCGCCGCCGCCCCCGCCGCCGGGCTTTTCCAGCTTCTCCGGGTCGTTCATCGTCTCGGCAACGCGGCGGCGGTGGTGCGTGACGCTTGCACCACCGAGGATTTGGGTGGCGTTGTTGTTGGCTCCTGAATTGGTGGTGGCTCCGCCGCTTGACATTGCTCGAAAAACACACATAGGTGGGGGAATTATATTATTAATTTTTTGAAGTCAACAAAGTCAGGAAAGAAAGAAAACACAAGAGAGAGAGAACCCAACTATGGGCTTAGAGAGAGAAAGTAGGAGAGAGAGAAGTTGCCATTAACGCTGAGCCGCTCGTTTGCTTTGTTCTTTCTTTTTTTCGCTGTGGCGAATTTTGTGTGTTGTATATGTATATTGTAATTGTACGGTGGCAAAAGGGAAAAAAAGGAGCTGTTTTTTTTTTAATTAAATTTAATTTTGTTGATTTTATTACATCGGAAGATGGTACCGTAATCTAAGGTGCAAACGAAACAACTCAGAAGAGAGAGAGAGAGAGAGAGAGAGAGAGAGAGAGAGAGAGAGAACACAGAGAGAGAAAGAGAAGACGATCATGTGTGATTGGCCTTATTATGTGATTTTCTTCTTCGCATTTATTTATTTATTATATTCTTTGATATTTTATGGTCAATGGGTTTTTGTCTACATTCCAAATTCATTATTTTCTATTTTGACTTTTTTTAAAGTTCGTAATTTTTTGTAATTCCACGTTGGATTGCGGAATTTACTCTGACTATTTGTGTTGTTTAATTTTTTATTTTATTTACAAAATACTATATTTTTACATTTTTGCCTCAGAAGTGGTATTTAGAATGTTGATTGTGTTTCAGTGTTCACTAATTAATTAATTTGTTTGTGTAAGTGAACACGATTAATTATTTTATTTATTTAGTAATTTTGGTGTTTAATTAGTCTGGTATGCATCAAATCGAAATTTCAATTTGATTTGAAGATCACTTAATACATTGAAAGACACATATACTTAATTAGATACAATTAATTCTTCAAAAGAAATTCTATTTGAAATACATGATTTATACTATAAATGAAGAAAATGTCTTCCACCCGTTTCAAATTCAAGTGTGTGAGTATAATTTTGTCATCTCCTTTATCCCAACATTCGTTCACCAATGCCTCGTTTAGTTGGGAAAAATTAATCTCGATTGACTAGATAACTTATCGAGTCAGACAATAAATACTAACTTATTCTGTTTTATCTTGACTTTTAGGTATTTGTTTTAATGGATATTCCAAAGTCCAATAACACAATTGGACTAATTTTATATTGGCAATCAAACGGAGCCAAAAGTTATTATTATGTATAATTTATATCTTTTTGGCCTTTTTTTCTTTAAAAATTAATTCCTCCACATTTGTTCGTGATAATTAAATAATTAAGTAAATAGATTGAATTAATTATAATTTGGAGAGAAAAAAAAACTATTGCAAAGATGAAAATCCCTTATATTATGGGAAAATATAATCCAAATATGTGCAATTGCAGAAATAATTAATTAGAAGGAAGAATGAAACGTGGAGGGGTTGTTCTTTTAGGGTTTTCGGTTACTTGTTAGGTATAAAAGTTTGCCATAAAAAAATTGTATTTAAGATCTATTCACATGCATATGATAGTTGATGTACTTCTTTTTCACTTTTCTTTTTCTTTTTCTTTTTTCCTTTTTAGCCATTGATGTATGCATTTAATAACTTCAGATTCATGTATAATCACATAATGTGAACCGTAGTTATAAATAAATATAAATATATTACATATTTATATATAAATACATATATAATTGACACACAATGCCATAAATAAATGCAAATCATTATCCATTCTTTAATTGGAAAACTACAATGCACTTCTTCGGAAAGATCGACAGTGAAATGGATACATTTTTGTCACAGCTATTTTGCTGATAAGATATTTTAATTAATTAATATTGTAAAATTGTTTATCAGAAAATGATAGCAAAATAAAATTTAAATGGTGTTATTATTATAAATTTGATGGCACAACAAACAAAAGTTTACTTAGTAATTGATGATAAAATACCGACATGGTGAAACGACGTCGTATGTAATTTATGTTTGTAAAAAATAAATTGAAGAATTAATCCTAATTATAACGTCATCATCATTTGTCCAATTGCGTCTCAATTTACGTTATGCATTTGTATTGTGTAATACGTAACAGGAAGCATTCAACCAGTTTTAAATAAATAAATAATAATAATAATTAAAAAAAAAAGAATAATTCAAAACTCGAACCTCTGATCTTATCTGTGTATATATTTCAATTATCAATAAGTCTATTTTTGTGGATATTGGCAACAATTAGCTTTAGAGCAAGTGATATATAGTAATCTTACAAGTCTGACAAATTCAGTAATTCATTTTTTTTATATTTAAATTAAAAATTAAAAATATTAACAATATCATAACGAATGATGAAGAAGTTGTATAACTACACTTCACTACAATAAAGTGTTGAACTAGCATTTTCCCCAGGGGCGGAACCAGGATTTTTCGGTAGGGGGGGCCGAAAAGTTTAGAGAATCAATAAAAATATGGCGGGGGTTCGGGGGCAGCGCCCCCGAATTTTTTTAGGGATATTTATAAAGAAAACCAACAAAAATAAGTAATGAGTAATAGATTTTTTGTCAAAACAATATTCATAAACTTATATAAAATAAATTGCAATATATAACACTAACATTTTGTTGAATAAGTAAAAGTGTCATAAAAAATAAAATCTTGAAATACATAGAAATTCGATAGAGTGAAAACTTTAAATATTGAAAGAAAGAAAAAAAATACATTCTTTTTTATGTTATTTTATTTTTTTATCATAAGCTTTAATAGAGATTAGGGCTTGAGATTGCAAAAAATATTTTATAGAATAATAAATTATAACAGAAAATTAAATTTAAAAGGTGGAAATAATAATTTACCTTTTAATGTGGGCTATATATAAATATTTGTAAATAAAAAATCATTATATAATGGTAAATAAAAGTTAATATACTAACCAATTACTAATTATTTGTGTATATATCTATCCAATATCTATAAATTTTAGTATATATATAATAGTAGTAAAAAAAATAAAAAATTCTGGGGGGACAACAGCCCCCCCTTGCCCTAGTGTAGTTCCGCCAATGATTTTCCCCTGTGCGATGCACGGGGTATTATTTAAACAGTGAAAAAATAATCAATTAAATACATAATAATAAAATATAGTACACTAATATAGTAAAATTTAATAATGTAGTATTATTCACATTTTATATAACATTAGTTTTTTTTTAAATCTTACATATTAAGATTTAATTTATAATCCAAATAAATAGACTAAGATTTAACAAATCGAATTTCTAGCTTTAACTCTCAAAATTTGAGATATATTGAATTACAGAAATACCATCATTTTTAAGGGTTGCCCAACATTTCTTTCTTTTATATATTAGATTATGCTTTATTAACATAAGCATTAAGGACTGTGGAATTGTGATAGTAGAAGTGGATGTAATTAACTGTGGTGGGTGAAGACTAATGACACAATTAAGGCTCACTAAGCCATGGACTCATGATTACGTCTTGGTGTTAGTCCACTAATTAGTAATTTCGACTTAACTTCCCAAAATACATTTGACAATTAAAAAAAAATCATTTTTTAAAGTTTAATAATGATAATATATATAATCAAACCCACTCGTCAATTATAACTTCTTCAATTAATCATAAAAATAATTCTGAAATAGTTAAAAACTAAAAAAAATATTATATAAAAAAATAAATTAACTAATTAATATTAGGGTTGGGTAGGTGGTTAGCAATTAAGCCCCAATAATTAACGGCCCACATCCAATTTGGAATAAAGGGAACGCGTGGAGAGCTGTAATTTGACGGTAACCGTAGCGCCCGATACCGACACTTCACTTTTAGCGGTGCACACTCTATTCGTACAGCCACGCGTCACACCCTCATCTCCACCCAACAAACTAAAAATAATAATTAAAAATATATAATAATAATAATAATTATTATTATATTATTGTTATTCATTAGCCGCAGCAAAACGAATTCGGTAATAACCAAGGGAATGTTTCAACACGGACAGAATATTGTATTATCTGTGCAGCTGTATATGTTATGAACAACCATTTTCTCCAAATTAATATTTATATTTTTTTGAAGTATAATTACCAATGTTAATACTTTAAGCAAATGATAAACCATATCATATGATTAGACATAAGCCGAACTTTGGATCTCAATTTAGCAACCGACACATGAAAATGATTTTGATACTCTAATTATTTTATTTGCATATCGGAATCATGAGTTTCTACTTTTGCCGGACCACTATGTTTCTTTCTTGTTCTTGCTTCTTACTAATTTACATTTTATTTGTTTTAACTATAATTAAACAACATTAATAAAAAAAATTAAACAAAAATTAATGGAGTTTGGTCACGTTATGTCTCTAAGTCAAAGATAAATGGAAACATAAAATTTGTGTTTAGAATTGAATACTTGAATATTAATCGATTGTTGGAAATTAGAAGTGGCGAACAAACTCTAGTCTGGTCAACTGTGTAAGTCATTGAATTTGTGGAAAACAAAGTGCCGACTAAAATCTCATAAATATTATTTTGTTATTTATTTAAAATATCAGAAAGATATTAATTTGAAGACAAATGGAGATTAATGTTTTTCATCAAAATCACCGTACAAATGCCATCTGGTGATATCTTTTTGAATCCTACCTATCATATTAGAATTGATGGACCAACATAATTATTATAATTAGGATGTATGGTCAAATTACGAATTAAAACCACCCCTTAATTCCTCAAATTTATTGGAATATTTGTGATTTTATGAAATATTATTACTTTTTTACCCGTTTTATCGCATTCGGACTCTACATTTTGAAGTAAGATGATCATAATATGTGTTTTTTGGCTTGTCTATATCAGATTGTGAAGCATCATAAACTGTATTTTTACACAAATTAGAGCACATTCCACGAAATCTAAATGATTATGTTGAATTTGACACCATAAAAGTGGATGTGTAAGAAAAATCATAGTTAACGGTAAATATAATTATCCAAACAAGAGAGATTTTTTCGTAAATTGACCATACCTCAGGGGCGTTTGTAATTTACCCTTATTAATATTATTGAATAAAATATTAAAAATTTTAAAAACTAGCAGAGTGGGTGATTTAATTTAATTTTAATTTATAGTGGGCCAGGCCAGTGTAATAGTCCAGTCAAAATGGTATTGGCCCGTTACAAACATGTATATTTGGTTTAAGCCCAATTATCAGTTTACACTTAAAAATTAAAATTAGGGTTTCCCCACAGTCGTCTCCATTTCATTTTCTCAGAGAGCGAAGCTTTGTTCCAGCGGCGGCGATGGTGAAAGGGAGGCAGGGTGAGCGCGTCCGGCTCTATGTCCGTGGAACAGTCCTCGGATACAAAAGGTACAATTTTTTTTTTTGTTTTTTTCTCCCGATTTTCATTTTTAAGCTGTGTTTGGTTGAACGATGTAAAATTGACTGATGCATTCGTTCGATTTTGTGATTTTAGGTCGAAGTCGAATCAGTACCCAAACACGTCGCTGATACAGATAGAGGGAGTGAACACACAAGAGGAAGTAGCGTGGTACCTTGGGAAGAAAATGGCGTACATTTACAAGGCCAAGGTTAAGAAGAACGGATCTCACTACCGTTGCATTTGGGGCAAGGTTTCCCGCCCTCACGGTAACAGCGGCGTCGTTCGCGCCAAATTCAAGTCCAACCTTCCCCCTAAATCCATGGTAACTTTTAATTTCTGCAGCAAAGAGTTGATTTTTAATTTTGATTTATGGATTCCATGGTGAGATAATCATCTGTATTTTGCCTAACAGGGAGCTAGAGTGAGGGTGTTCATGTACCCGAGCAACATTTGAGGTGAATATTCATTCTCAAACTCTGTTTTGTTAGTCCTTGTTAATTGTGATTATGAATGATAGTTATACATCACTATATCTCGATTGTAAAATGGATAATTGAATTGCATGCATTGTGTATGATTTTCGCTACTCTTTTGCTGTTAGTTTTGTCTCGTTGAACAATTATACATCCTTTTTTTTTTTCTGGAAGGAACTAATTTTAAAATAATAGTAATGAATTAGCTTGGTTTTGACCACCAGTTACTCTTTTTTGTTAGTTCGGGTTTAAGCGATTAGGAATGATAGTTATACATCACTATTTCCATTGTAAAATGGATAATTGATATGAATGATAGTTATACATCGCTATTTCGATTGTAAAATGAATAATTGAATTCCACCATTTTGGATTGTTGTGCATAATGCCTTTTTTTTTTTGTGGAGACAACAAATTTCATTCTATAAGCACTGAATTAGCTTAGCTTTGACCATCAGTTTCGGTTTGTATCTAAATTTTTTAAGAGCTTTTTCTTAAGCTGAATATTTTACGAGTTGAAAAATACTAAACTCCATTCCTTTCTTCTTTACGTTGTATTGGTTTTCAAAATTCAAAGTGCAAAAGTGATCAGAGTGTTGAAATTGCAATGCACGTCTTCTGATTCATTGTAGCCACAAGTATCGAGTTATATATGTTTGTGAATGATGTATAATATGGTCATTCCATTACGAGTTTTGTGTGAAATTATCTCCACAAGTTTACTTTTTGCTTCATAATCTTGGTGTTAGCATCAAGTTTCTAGCTAATTTAGCTTTGCCTTCTTATTTCAGTGACTGGGCGTCGTGTAGGCTTTATCAGGAGCACTGCATGAAGAGAGACCATCGAGATTTTAACTTTTTTCCTTTTTTGTTTTTTTGGGTAAGAAAATTCGTATAACGCGAAGTTATGTACACTTTTGGCCGGTAAAGCTTGATGATTTATGATTTATTTGTCGGATAATATGTTAGCTTTATATCTTTAAATAGCTATCCGCTGCTCTCTTATGCTAGTTCGTATTTATTTTTACCTTACCTCATGTTGATTGCACTTTGTTTGGTCTTAAAGTTGAATTACGAAAGATTGAAACTGATTTAAACTATGTTAAGTATTTGAATTTTAAGAGAAGTGATGTTGTTTCTTGAAAATAACGATTACATAAGTAGAAGTCACTTTTTTAAAGTCGAATTTCCCGCGATTAACAGTTCAACAAAAAACACACCAAAACAGCTTATTATTCTTAATTTAAATAAGTTTACAGACTTAATTAAAGGATAACCAATTCAACGTGTTGAGGTACTCGGGCTTCAATTTGTTGCTTCGCATAACTCCTTGCAGTTTGTAGTCTCTCCAAATCTTCACCGCATAGTTGGAAAACGGAGTTCTTTAAAATGTATGTAACTAATTCGATATCACTCGAGCGGCCGTAGTAACCACATAACTTAAACACTCTAAGGTGATGGTGAGGCAACTTTGTAATATTCTTCTTCGCTTTTCTATGTGTTCTTGAAGGTTCTATGTATTTTTTATCATAACTTAAACACTCGAAGATGATTATTTTTTATGATAAAATTCAATAAAAAAAGGTTACTAAACTTTAACTATACACAGATTGATTAATACGCTATTGTAAATTATTGAGTTTAACCGATTCAAATATTTGAATATTGTCTACGAATTGAAATGAGTTGAGCTTAATCGATCAAATCTTTGAATGTTGTTTTTGAATTGAAAACACATGAGTTTAATTGATTCAAATATTACGATTTAATTAAATCTTACAATTTACGATTCAATTCAAACTTCAAATTCTTTCGAAATTCATTTTTAAATTACACGAGTTGAACAACATTTCCTTAGATTTTTAAATTATATTATATAAAGATTTGTTAGTATGGGATATTTTTAATATATAATAATAATAATTATATGAGAATTAATAATTTATTTAACATTATTTATATAAGTTTTATCACCATTATAAATTGTAGCTTTGTGATATATATCCGTATTGT